ACGTTGAATTTCTCCCCTTTTTTTCTTTTCTTTTCCCGTTGAATTATTCACAACTTGTTGAACTTTGTTTATCTACTTTTAAATCATTCTACTAATTCAAATCAAAATTTCTGCTTTCAATATATTTAAACTTTTATATTTTATTTATTAAAACTTGAATTCATATCATTTTCAAAGTTTTTGTTTATTTTATTGTTGAATTTATTTCACAATTGAATTTTAGTAATATATATGGTGGTCATTTTTTTTTGGAGCTGACTTGTCTTTTTTTGTTGTTGTTGTTGTTGTTGTTGTTGTCTTATCTCGTCTATTCCCCTACTGCTTGTTTTTTTTTTAATACGTGCGCGCATACATTAAGGTAATTGGTTACTATTGGTAACTGAACTCATGAATAATAATTTTCTTTGTATTGTAATATTGACAATGTTCAATTCTTTTCATTAATTTGAAATATAGACATAAATTTATTATTGTTAAGTGTTTATCAAATTAGTGTTTCACTATTTAGGAATATACTAGTTGGTGATTTATTATACCTACTTGAAAGTGTTTCTTCTGTATAAGTAATGAATTGTTTTAAATAATGCCTTTCAATTAATTATAAGGCTATTACTGGTGGATGAATATATAGTGCTGATTGTATTCTTTTAAATAAGCTACAATGTGTTTAGTAGCCTAAGTAATATTAAGAGAAATTATACGCTAAACGATTAGATAAACCTGACAATATTTACTACTCAGTGATCAGTCAATGTAATTATACTAATTGTACAATAGGTCAGTTATTACTTGAATAGGTGAGTAGTATCATTTCACACTGTCAAGCTGGTTCTTGTAAGTTCGAATCCTTCGGGGAGCAACACCCCCCCCTCAACGTTGCAAATATGTATTTTCTGACGAGTCTTAATCAATTAGTGTTACCTAAATTCATGTACCATTATGCTTTCCATGATACCAATATCTCAGACTAGGATAATGGGGTCTAGATTCTTAGCTGTCAATAGCTGGCGAAAACTGCATAAATCATTTATCAATAAAGTCCTGTGTATTATTTATCATCACGTGTGTTTCTCAAAACTATAAGTTGTCAGTTAAAACACTAATTTGTTGGGATTATACGTCGAAATAAAGACCAAGTTTGTGTAAACAGTCGTTTTACAAGGTTATTCATAACCATTGACGTTATTTATTACATAAATAATTGTCCACATATGCTGGAATTTCATATCAGTAGTAGTTTTCTTAACGTAGAATTTCATCTGATTACGAGCAGATCGATTTGTCTGCTGTCAGTACCTTGTCGACACAATAGTTTTGTATATTTAGTTCACATAAACAGTAATTACCTAACAAAAGGGACGGACATAGTACGTGTTTAAAACCTTTAAGATATTGTGTTTTACTAGATAAGATTATGTGAACAGGTGTGAGATTTTCATCTAATCGGGCAGATATTTTGTTACGGTTTGATTTCAGATTCTTTCAATGTCCAATTACATAACACCGATATAGCTGAGATGCCAAGTGTTGAATACCGGAGTGAATGTTTTTATTTTAGTGAATACACCAGAAAACGTGAACTACTGATATACTGAACGAATCCAGACGAGTCACAGAATATTTCTCTTCAATTGGTTTTTCCTCATAGTATACATATAAGTGAATAAAATGATCAGTATTGGGAAATACTACTTAAGAAGCGAATAAATTAGATTATACAGCTTAGTGATTGATCACAATAGAATTCGTAAAATGTTTATTAAGAATTCCGAAATACTGTTAAACATATGTGTAAAACAATAATGACGGACTGATTGAAAAGTACTATTACTACATTTTGAATTTACGCTCCAGTGAAATTTGCGATAAATCAATTATTAGTGTAACCAAGCATGGATGACTCACTCAATTAAAAATCATGACTGTCAAAACATCTGTCTGGGTCAGTCTATGAAAGCCAAACTTGACAATGAGAAATGTCATTACTAACTATTAGCTGGTTTATTTGAGTAGTCTAGTGTTTAGACGAAGTGTAGAATCGATAATCCAATAAAAGTAATTTAGATTACTGGTTTATACAACTACATAAACCAATATTTAATGTTTTACTGGTCTTTAACCGATCGTGAAACGTGCTGTTGAGGGTAGGAGAAATTATGAAAACAACACGCAATATAATAAGGTTCATCAGATGTGAGTTGAATTGTTTCGCACTTTAACCATGAAGAAATTATTATTCCTAAGTTTTAAAAAGTTTATGAGACGTAAAGTTCATCATTAATAATGATTAAGAAATGAAAAGGCCATGTAAAACTACATAAAAATCTTCCGATAGTACTGATAAGAACATAAAATAGCATGCTTGGTGTTACAAATTTCTGAATAAGAGTTAACGGTTGCAAACGACTATGTCAAGACTAATTAACAATACATAATCTTTTAATGTACACAATCCTCAAACTATGATGATCTTTAGTTTATTTATTTTAACACAGATATCGGTACAAGGAGGCACCAAATACATATGCGCCACACGAATCTCATTTGATTTGTGTGAGGGCTGTGATACTGCCCGGGTGCCCAAACCGAACAAGGTGGTTTACCTAGAGGGCCACGTCCACAGCCTTCGACCTTAAGGTCTGACCCACAAGGCAGTGGAGATACAGTCCCATAGTAACCGGTGACCAACGATTGATTCATATGCCACTTGTTACTTCTGGAGCCCATGTGCACCATTGGTTTGGGATCCGGGTAAAGCGCCGGACATTCGCTTTTCATACTCTCCATTTCGTAAACAACACCCCTGTTAAGTCGGCTTTCCGAGAACTGCAACAGAGCCTCCGGAGGCCCTGAAAGAGCCAAAGAGTCTTAGCCAATCAGATCACGATGGAGCTTTCTAGAATGCCAACGTGGGGCGCTACTATTGGTCAGTAGCATAATATGTCTTTTAGCGGATTGGCCAAAATATGATGTTGATTTAACAAATGTTAACATCTATAAATACCCATGTTTTTCTGTACAGAAATGAACCTTGGAGTAAAGTACTTTTCGCATACTTTGCTCCTTCTCTCTCGTGTTCAGGTCGCTGTATAGTTCTAGCTTGGGGGTTTTCAAGAATAGCTTAGGAATCGAGTATAGCGTTCAAAATCGCAAGACTTATCAACCCCCGCCACGAGAAGGCAGTGAGTAGGACTTCCCTGTTAGAGGCTATATACGCGTGACCATGTGAGAGCATTTCGAGAGGGAGAGTGGACTCTTCCCACTCTCAGCCGTACCAGGGCATTTGGGGGCTTCATTTATACACAAATTATGGTAGCATTATGTATGTTGTTGCATTAAGGAATTATCAACATTTAAGCAATATCGTAACAATTTTCTATTAAACACATCGATTTACATCGTAACTATTCAGTGTAATATACTTTTTAGATGTTTTCACTAGTCACTATCTACCTGGACTCCTGTAATTAATGATTGAAAATTTTCCAGCAGATCTACCAGCTATGACTATTTAATCCATTTATCATCATAGAGAAAGAGAAAAAAAATATGCTAACAACTTTGATCCTTTATTCAAATTTTCCCAAGAGTGATTATCAGCTGTAAACCTTTTATAATACTGGTTTGAGGTGTATGCTATTTATGTTAACAAATGTAAGCAGTATATGACACTAATCAGAGGTGTTTGTCAAAAGATTGAACTGAAAAGAACAGAAAGGAATCGGAATAAAAACAGAATTGAAAGAATCATGTAGGATGTAAAAGACAACTGAAAGAAGATATTCAAATGATGTATTGGATGTGTGATTTTAACATTTTACTAAACCACTGTGTGATTGTGTATGAAACAATAAATCGATTGTCTTCACCAAGTCTTTGTTCACTAGAGGGTAAGTATACATATAATAGTACAAACATAATTATTCAGTTCAGTTAAATCTAAAAATAGAAAGGTTAGTTAAATTCATATTTGCGCAGTTGGAAAATAGATAGTTTAAGCATTTTAACAAATGGCCTTCATAATTAGAAATATTCAAAACTGAATGGATTATTATTCATTAACAAATCAAACGAAAAACAATATTATATGCAGTTATTGTAGTAAGACATCAGTAAAAATTCTATCTATTGAATAAAGTTTGAAAATGCGCGTCCACGATCTCCCCTCGCGTGATTCGAACCCAGGACCTGCCAGTCTCGCGCGAGAGCGCTTAACCACTAGACCACGGAGAAAGTTGGCATCCAGCCGTCCAACTTCAACTGATCCACAAAATTAGGCGACACATCCGTCAGTGTCATCAGTGAATTACCATTTCACAACAGACCCGGTTGAACTTCACTGCTTCTCATTAGAACTCCCAGATATACATCTAGAAGCCAGTCACTAGTGAGCATATGCTCACTTGGTATATTTTACTTTAATCTTCTCATTGATGTTTAGGACTGCATTTGATCAGTCTCTTATTGGCATATGAGCATACTGTGTGTATTGCCTTAATTCACAATCATCATAAGCGAAAATGGATAGTGGTTAGCATTGGAATCCAGGACGTGCGTTTCATCTTATCTGTGACTCATCAGCTGGATATACTTACATCTCTGAGTTGATAGGTTCGAGTTCCAGAGTGAACACCAACTCTGAAATGCAGGTACATTCAGCTGACGAGTCCAAAATAGAACTAAATGCGCGTCCTGTATTCCGCTGCTAGCCCACTATCCATCTTTGTTTATTATGTATACTTTAAAAAAAAAGTTACTCGAAGTTTAAGTGGTTACAATTGATCGATTGTCGACCAGTTTTATGTTTGTCTTGTCATTTAATGCTATGAACCCTTATTGCCTGACAGTGTGTTACAATTCTCTAGTTATGTTAAGTCATTTAAACCAGTGAGTGATATTGATAACAGAATTTGAATAGTACCAATATAATTAGAAAAGTATGATAATAATCGTTACTCAGTGATCTATCAGTTGTAAATATCTTAATCGTACAAGTTTATCGTAGATCTAAGAAGTAAATAATAATATGAATTATGAAACTTAGCGATATTGAATGATTTTGAATCTCATAAAGATTATCAGTTCCTTCGAATATTCAAAGTACTAACAACTATCAACTAGTACATAACGTAAAGTAACAAATTGAATTGTTCATTACTTATCTTATTATCAACTCAAACTTAAATGATTAACAAATTTCAAGTGGAAGTTTTATTTTTATTTCACCATTATTCAATATGATTAATACAATAAACTACAAATTTCTATTGTAAATAAAATAATCATAAAAGAGAATTATCATCCTTACAAAATTATGAACAATTCAGTAGTATATTGAAAGAGAAAAGAAAAACAAACAGAAATTTATTTTTTTTAAAAAAAAAAAGGATTACGTAATATCATGTTATTATTATTATTATTACTATTTAAAAGTACTTTCTAATTAGCATACATCATATACACATGAAGTATGAGCATTTGAAGAAAGACTGGTGTAATAACAATGGATATATAGGAAAGATAAAATTTCATCATTTCATATTACAAAAGTCAAATAGAATTGAGTGATTTTGTACAATTTTTATCAACATCATTATTACTCATTATGTGATTAGATTGTATACAAACATATAATATTTACATTCATAGGAGAAGAGAGATAGTTGAAGAAAGATTAGTGCCATGGGATAGTTTAGAAAAGAAAAAAAAAACAAACAACCATCAAGAAAGAATATTATCCACACAAAAAAAGAAAAGAAAAACAAAATTAACACAACTATGGATTTAAAAGAAAAAGTTTTAAAATGTTAACAAGAATAATGAATTAAACAAGATAGTAAGCTTCAATTTCCATTGGATTCACATGAATACGATCTATTTTACTTGATTGATATCTACTATTATTATTCATAGAAGAGACAATTGATGGAATCATAGTCAGATTAGTTTGTATTGCATATTTTAATTGAATTGAACCAAATAATTTATGTATATTAAGCTGTAATTTTAAAAAGAAAAAGAACAAAGACGGGTTTATTGATTTTCATTGGGTAAAAGTATAATATACCAAAAATTTTGGGTGAATTATCAACTAGTCAGGAAATGCAACATCATGTTAGTGATACAAAGGTTCGGAATCGTATGTTCGAATGTAGAGACGATAATTCAATTGGTTGTCACCATCTTGAAACATCGACTTCAGTGGCTTGGACATGTTCTACGAATGTCGTCCCAGAGAATTCCATGTCGTGGATTATTTGCCGACACTAGGACTGGTTGGAAAAAGCGGAGAGGTGGTCAGTGTATGACATAGTGTCGGGGTATGAAAGAAAGCTGCAAAGGGCTGGCTTGTGTTGGTCCTTCACGACTCCATGGATGGGGTCCGAGAGATGGTGCAACATAGTGGCTAGAGATGTTATCACATATGGCTCACAATAGAAGCCAGTGGCGGTCCTTCTGTAACCTTCTTTCACTTTCCTTACAGAAAGTGGTTGTAACTTCCTTGGCTGAAAGGAAATTATTTCTGGTTGTACCTTTCTGTTTCCCCCATTATTATTATTATAACACTGTCATACACTAATGTGTGGTCGTTATTGTTCTCTTTTTTTCTTTCTTCTCTCTTACACGCACCTTGTATTTTTTTTCTCTTCCCATTCTCATTGTTATTGTGTGGCGCATATATATCTGGTGCCCCCTTTTACTAATATTTATGTGTTCAAATAAATAAAATAAAATCCAAGTGTAAAACAATGAATAATAATAAAATATTGGTAGAATCACAGCTTTTATCGTGATCATTAATCGTTACAAGTCAAATTATCCCTTCTAGTAAGGAAAATGGCAATTTTATATACATACGTACATAAATATTAAGAGTTCGGCTAATGTTGTGAGTTAAGGTTATCACCTAATAGGATTTTCGCCATCCACTGGCATTAATTATAATGTAAAAGGTTAGGATTAGGTATCAGAAATTAAACTGGGGTTTTCAATTAAGTCTACAAATTAAGTAAAGGTTTTCAATACAAACTAACATCTGCTTTAACTCGATACCTTGCAACCCTCTTGTTTATAAACTTTCGAAATTTAGGGTTAAAATTTAGAATGAGAGCAATATCTAGCTTCACTAAACACTGTGCAATGAACCATATTAAGTATTTTAACAAACGATCTGCCTTAGGAGCAGTTATGTTATGTAATTTAGCTTAAGAATAACATAAAACTCAATTTTTGGTTGCATAATAGCTGTTTTCATTAAACTCAAACCGAATATTGCCAATTTTCATTTGATTAATAATAACATACACGTTATCTAAAACTTTAGTTTAAACTTCACACAAAATACATGAGACATTTTAATTCTGATTGATAAACTCAAGATCATCAGTATATTACACATTTAACGTGTTTTTTTGGTCTTGGTATAAAAGGATAACTGTTGGAAAGATCCAGAGTATTTCTCGAAAAAAAGACCGGAGGGACACCGAAAACGCAGGGGGGGGGTATTTTACCCAATATGAGTTTCTCAGAAACATCTGAAATGTGAAGAGTCATGCATTACGTTTTTGATGGAGTTTTGTTCTCTGAGCTGGATGGTTTGGTCGCGGAGCTTTCATCGTTCTTCTATCTGAAGTTTGTGCTGATGATGTCGTTCAGAAGAACGATGAAAGCTCCACGACCAAACCATTCAGCTCAGAGAACAAAACGCCATCAAAATCATCCACCTGAGCTACAAATCTTCTCCACCATCTCATGTATTACGTTTCTGATTGGATGATTACCTTTCCTGCTATGTTTAGTAGGGTTCCAGAACCTTCCAGAAACCCACGTCCATCTGAAATGCTATAAATACCGTCAATTTTCTGTACATAAACTAACCTTGGAGTAAAGCGTTCTTTTCACATCTCGCATAGATTCTCTTGTATTCAAGTTGTCATTTAGATTTAGCCTGGGTTTATTAGAAGAGCTTAAGAAACCTGAACAATTATTAGTTTTAAATCCAACACATATGTGAGCAGAATAGACGGTTGTAGTAAGTTGAAATTACCAAAAAAGAGTAGTGAATGATTGACTGACCGTTGTAGAAGTTAAGATTATAGTTCCGAGGCATCTAATCTGATTCTATGGTTTGAGTGCAACACGCTCATTAACAAACATGACGGTCTTCTTGGAATTGTAGGTACGTACTAACTAAAGGATTTCAATCTAGGACAAAACATCCACATGGTGTTTACTGGTTTTTAGTGACATCTTATCTAACAGTTTAGTTCAGAATAAAAAGTATCTTCACAGTCCATCCGAATAAATAAACTTTTAGATTTTCTAAACAACTCAAAGATAAATGGACTATTCTGTGGTTTAAGTATTTAATGTGAAAATCAATAAACTGAATAATTAATGGAACAAACAAAGAGATGATAATAATCATTTGATGCTATCAGAAAATATTATCACTTCAATTAACTCACTTCATTTTGTCCAACATGATTATTGAAACATTCTGAGTAAAAATCAACTTTTGGTAAATTTCTAGCATAACAAACTGGTGCATGACGTCGTAAAATCACACCAACTTGAGTATTCGGTGCAGCATGAAACTCTAATAAAAGATAGAATAGAACAGGGATAAACAAATACAAATTAAAATTACAATTCATTTAAAATGAAAACCAGTTATTCACCACAGGCAACCAAAGACAGTAAAGCAATATCACCTCGAATGACCTAGTACGGCCGAGGGTGCGAAGAGTCTGCTCTACATCTCCAAACGCCCTCATATGGCCATGTATATATAACCACTACCAGGCAAGTTCCACTCATCGCCTTCTAACAACAGGGTACTGTTTACGAGATGAAGAGGACGGAAAGCTTGAACCAAGTTGGTGTGCTCGGAGAATCTACATAAAGGAGTTGCAGAACTTTGATTCCAAACCAATAGTCCGTGTGAACTCCAGGATCCTGAAGGAATAATTCGCGTATGAACCTATGGTTAGTCCATGGCTGCCACGAGACCGCATCTCCTAACGTTGCTCTACTGCCCCGTGGATCGGACTTCCGAACATAAGGGTCGGGGAGTGATCCCTCATAAGAAAATCACCTGCTTCGATTCGTGCACTTGAGCATTAACACAGTCTAGACACAAATTAAATGATTCATCGTGTGGCACATACATATTTTAGTGTCCCTTTGTACTAATGTTCATGTGTTTAAATATATAATTGAGAAGTGATTGACTTTAGTGTTGTACAACATTGGATACCAGTTTAGTGGTCTATAGGCTAACTGTTTGCACATGGGACCGAGCAGCAGTGAGATTATGGATGGGCACTGCTAAGTAATCCTACACTAGGTCATAACAATTGTGTTTCCTAGCTCCCAGTGACTATCTAACCTAAATCAATGCGCGATGTAATCTATGTGAATTCATTAAAAGTAATCGAATAGTTGGAAATCGCTCGGAACTAAGTTGCAATAACTACATTTTTGTTTTCAATCAAGAAACTTGATGAGACGTGTTCTAGGTAGGCACATATGGGAAAAATTAAGCTACCTACCTACATAACCTAAGCAATTACTCACAAAGTAAAATGTTCCACAGAATAAGCAATGAATAATTTCTGTTATAACTTATATTTGGATATTATCAGGAACAAAAGTACCAGTAGCCCTCGTGAGATCATATTCATTTTTGCTTGTTTTTTTTAGCAGATCGATTGAATGATCGACAGTAGAACACTATAACACTTTTATCAGATTGATGAAATGTAGAAGGAATGAACGAATACTCAGTAATAAGCAACATAGAACCTCGTAGATATATTGAAATTAGTTAATGTTACTGTATTATATCATCAACACAGAAAGATGTTAGAGTATGTGAAATTAGTAATCGCACAATTTCATTTCACTTATAAACTGATTCAAGTTAACACTTTATATTAGTCAGCTAGCTTCAACATTAACAATCTGAATTGATTTTATATAACAAATAACAATTCTTGATTTACTTATCACAAATTCCAAATGATGTACTCTGCCTTAAATCTGGCCAATTCTATGGATTATTAATGTGGATTTATAATTGTAGAACCTGATGAGAAATTATTGAAAAGAATATTCTTCGTTCATTCAATTGTGTTTTACATATTCAACTATTAATTAGGAGTAACGATAATCACAAACACATTAACCAGTTAGTCTACTACTACCAACACAACTGAATCTGTTAGTCAATGAATTTATCAAATAATACCACCTTTTTTATTTCAACCCCGTCTAGATTTTATCTCATCTGGAAATCAAAATAATTGTCAACCAACACCAAGGTCAGAATTTTTAATACAAATATCAAGACAGTTCTACTGTATAAGACGGAAACCTGGAAAACTACAAAAACCATCATCCAGAAGATACAAGTGTTTATTAACAGTTGTCTATGCAAAATACTTCGGATCCATTGGTCAGACACTATCAGCAACAACCAACTGTGGGAGAGAACAAACCAGATCCCAGTGGTGAAAGAAGAGCTGGAAGTGAATAGGACATACGTTGAGGAAAGCACCCAACTGCGTCACAATGCAAACCCTCACATTGACTCCTCAAGGCCAAAGGAAAAGGAAGACCAGAGAAGAACACATTACGCTGAGAAATGGAGATAGACATGAGAAAAATGAACAAAAATTGAATAAAACTAAAAAGAAAGCTCCAGGATAGTGAGTTGGAGAATGCTGGTCGGCGGTCTACGCTCCATTGGGAGTAACAGGCGTAAGTAAGTAAATAAGATTTTATCTAATCTACTTCAACCATTATTGAATAATTACCAAATAAAGTACACTTCACTATGTAAACATAGTATACATCATCTACAAAAATACAAACACAAACTTTCATAACTTACTTATTGGTATCTTTATATTATGAAATGTTTTCATTGTTACCAATTCATAATCACATGGTAAACCAGATTTAGGTATTAAATTATATTCTGTTACAAGTAAATTATTTAAATCTGGTTGATTTACATAAAATTTATGTATTGGTCTTAATAGATCATTTAATATTTGTTGGGAAAATATAGACAAACTTGGAATAGCCTTTTGATATAGAGAAAAAAACGTAAGAAGAAGAAAATGGTAGAATAATTTAATATTGATACAATTATTCGTAGAAAGAGATGTGTTATAACAATTCAAACCGAATAAAGTCCTCTTTACAACATAGATCATGTCACTGCAACTACAGTGAAACAATTATACTCAATAGGTATCAATACCAAAGTTGAACTTGATCGTTTTAAATAAATTGAGCATTAGGTTGAAAGTAATGCCCTGGTACAGCAGAGGGTAAAGAGAGTCCGCTCTCCCTCTCCAAATGCTCTCACACAACCAAGCATATACAGCCATTGCGGGAGAAGTCCTACTCACTGCCTTTTCATGGCGGGAGTGCTGTTTACGAAATCGAGAAGACGTAAAGCGAATGTTTGACCCTTTAAATGGGTTAGTGGACAGGGAGAGTCCACCTAGAGATGGAAAACCCTGATTTCAAATCAGTGGTATACATGGGCTCCAGAACCCTGAGGGAACAAATGGCATATGAACCAATCGTTGGTCACTGAACATCATGGGGCTGCATCTCCTGACGTAGCTCTACTGCCTTGTGGATCAAACCTTTAGGTCGAAGGCTCCGGATGTGGCCTCCTAAGAAAATCATCTGCTTCGGTCTGGGCACCCGTGCAATATCCTAACCCTCACACAAACCAAATGATTTATGTGGCACATATGTATTTGTTGCCTCCTTTTACGAATATTTATGTGTTTAATTAAACAAATAGGTAGAAATTTAATAATAAATACAATTTTTTTACACATCGGGATATAACGAAAAATATATTTATTATTGATTATATTCAATGTTCTTCAATTTTTAAGAGTTTCTCTCCTCTAGATATTGTCGGTGTGCATGACAAAAACTATGAATTCGTAGTGAACTATTCTTTCAAAGTAAATGCCATATAATTTAGTTGAAACAATGATGTCATTGTAATTCAACATAATATACTCACATTGAGGTCAGTAGAATTATCTTCAAAATGATTATGAACCGATCATTGTTAGACCACCATTGAAAATCTGGAAGCATTGAACGTCCTGAGTTCAAATCCCGAGTGTGGAATCGTGAATCAGTACTGCCGATAAGTCCTATGCTAGGACGGAACGGCAGTTCAGTGCTTCCAGATATTCAATGGTAGTAGTAATATTAATCGGTTCATGATCTCAATAATAATAATAATAATAATAATAATAATAATAATAATAATAATAATAATAATAATAATAAACTCACTATTTTCTGAGTTTTATCAATTGAAATTATTTCAGTAAATAAATGTAATTGCGATTTTACAACCCATTCTCCATTCAAATTAGATTGAACACCACGTGAATCATCTCGTGAAGATCGACGATCAATCCATACATTGATTTGACCAACCTTAGGACTGACTACACCAGTAGGATGTGAAGTGAACAGATTTAATCGTTGATATTGTTTCGTATGGCTTCTATCATCACTGTCATTCATCTCTTGTTCTATATAGGCGCCGCATGCCATTGGATAAACGTTCCCTTGCAAAGGAATTTTATCATAATACTGCCTTTGAATAAACTAAAGACAAGAGATTTGAAAAGACAATAGAATCGAATTGTCAGATATTCATTGAACAAAATATGATATTTTTAGTGTATATGAAACATACTGGTAATTTGTTTGTTTTGATGTTGAATGTAAAAAGGATTTATAATTTACAAAACCTGATACGTACTAAATGATAAGAGAAGTCAAGAGTCTTCTGACGTTTTTCAACTGGGTCAGTCAGCTGCAACGTAGGACCAGGCACGTATATGCATCGGTCCAAGTTGCCATACCGCATTAGCACAACAAGATGAACACCGGATTCATAGGAGTAGTTAATTCAGTGGTGGTAATATATAGAAGAAAGATTGTGTATATGGAGATAGTAAGGGAAGAAAGAATTAGTTCCTAGACAGATATGAAGCGATTTTAATCTCTTAATTTAAGGAAGACAGAGAGTGTATACACCGACGCCATTGTGATCGATTCTGAGCCATGTCACCAAGAGTCTCCAACCATTGGTTACGATAGTCACGCGGACCCCAACCAGGCAGTCTGAATCTCCCAACATGACTCAGACCAGAAGTTAGTGACTTCAAGCATTGATGCCACGTTTTGGTTTGGCCGCCCCTAACTTTCTTCCAATTATCCCCTGCACTAGTCAGCATTGCGCGTCGTGGTAATCGGTGTTCAGGCATACGCAACACGTGGCCCAACCATCTCAGTCGATGAAGATTCATAACCTCATCAACTGATTTACCATCATTCCCTAATACCCTGCGTCTAACCTCACTATTACTTACCCGGTGATCCCAGCAGATACCCGCAATATTTCTAAGGCACCTGTGGTCAAATACTAGTAACTTACGAATATCTTCCACTCTTAAAGGCCATGTTTCGCAGCCGTATAGAAGGACGGAACGAACTGCCGCGCAGTATACTCGTCCCTTAATTGATAGACGAATATCTCGCCTTCGCCATAGATGATGTAAGTTGGCAAAGGCCAAGCGAGCTTTTCGAATCCGCGCTGAGATTTCGTCAGACACCAACCCATTAGGGCTGATCAGACTTCCAAGATAAGTGAAGTTGTCAACGCGTTCGACTACTTCACCCCCTATCCTTAGTTCAGGTGTTGATGCAGACCAGTCCTGAAGCAACAACTTGCATTTAGAGGGAGAAAAGCGCATCCCAAACAATCGGGCATTGTTGCTCAGTGCTAACAAAAGACTCTGCATTTCGTCAGCGTCTTCACCAAACAGGACTATGTCATCTGCGTATTCCAAGTCAATAAGTGGACCTCCTGGTAGGAGATCAATACCCGAGAAGTCAGTCGATGAGAGCGTTATTTCCATCAGGATGTCTATGATAAAGTTAAACAAAAAAGGAGAAAGTGGACAGCCTTGACGGACGCCACTTGAGGTTGCAAAAGCAGATGACAGTTCGCCATAGGCTCTGACCCGACTAGTAGTGTTCGAGTAAAGAGCCTTCACAAGGTTTATGTACTTCTGAGGTACGCCTTTCAATGACAGACACTGCCACAGAACCTCTCGGTCAACAGAGTCAAACGCTGCTTTTAAGTCAAGGAATACCACCATTGTCGGACGCCGATAAGTATGCCTGTGTTCTAGAACCTGACGAATGGTGAATATGTGGTCGATGCAGCCACGACCAGGTCTGAAGCCAGCCTGATTTTCACGTGTTTGCAGCTCACGAGTTTTAGTTAGGCGTCCGAAAATTATCGAAGCTAGTATTTTAGATACTATATTAGTCAAACTAATCCCTCTGTGGTTGTCACAGGATGATTTTGACCCTTTCTTAAATATTGGGACGATAAGTGATTGTGACCAGTTAGATGGAATAACGTCTAACTCCCAGATTTTAGCTAAAATATTAGTCAACCTAATCGCTAAGACTAGACCACCATCCTTAAAGACCTCTGGGGCCAATCCATCTGGACCAGCTGCCCGTCCTCGTTTCAGATTAGCTATAGCCTTTTGAACTTCAGCTAGAGTTGGGGGACCTACTTCAATGTTCCATTCACATTGTCTGGGAATAGAGGGTAGTTGTAGAGTAGCTGAAGGCCAGCTAAACTGCTCCTTAAAGTGTTCCGCCCATCGTTCTAAGCGTCTGGACTGGGAGCAGATGAGAGTGTCGTCTTTTTCCGAAATGGTCTGACTTACACTTGATTTATTAATTCCAGTTTCTTTTATTAGTCTGTAGAGTTGTCTTGTATTCCCTATAGCCGCCGCCTTTTCCATCTCTTTTGCTTTCGTTGCCCACCACTGCTCACGATCATTCTTTAGACTTTTGCTTAATCTAGATCTGATTTCTTTACGCTCTTCATCGTATTCAGAACCTGATGGGATGAGTTTGCGAGAATCTATCAGTGCAATAGACCTTGACGAAATCCATTGGTTCTTTGTAACCCTGTGGTTTGAATCGCTAGTAGATGTCACTGCTGTTTCCACAGCTGCTTGTATAACTTTCCAAGCAACATCTGGGTCAGTCTCGTTTTCAGAACTACCTAAGTGTGACCTCAGTTGTTCCTGGAACCTACTTTTGGCTTTCTCATTACTCAATTCGGTTCTAATGAGTCTTTTTTGTGTGGCTCTTTTGCGTCCAGTGAGGCGCAAGCAGATGCGTGCTCGTACTAGGGCATGATCAGAGTCCAAGCAGGTACTCCAGAATGAGCGACAATCTTCTATCGACCCTCTCCAACGATGACTGATGGCAATATGGTCTATTTGAGTCCATCGTTGGTTTGGTGCAGGGGGTCGCCATGTTAGACGATGTCTCTCCTTATGCTTAAAATTTGTGTTTGCTAAAAATAAACGATTGTCTGAGCACAGTTGCAGCAGACGATCACCATTATCTGTTCGCTGTGCCGGAATACTAAAATACCCACCTAAATGTCTTTCTGTTTTGTTTAAGCTACCTACCTGGGCATTAAAGTCACCTCCTACGAGTACTATGTCTGAACGTTTAGCTTTCTGAAGAAGTTCAGACAGCATTCTGTAAAATTCATCTTTCACTTCATCCGAACTGCAGTCAGTGGGAGCGTAGGCAGAAACGACGAAAAAGCAACGACGTGTGTCCCTATCCTTCCGAGTTCTTACCGAGCCGTTTAGCCGAACAGCGCATAGACGACTGTTAACGGGGATCCATTCTAATAGCGCTTGTTCCGCCCTCATGCTAAGTGCTATGCCTACACCTGCCAGTCCACGAGAACTAGCCATCGGGTCGCCAGATACACGGAGGGTGTATCTCGTTGGCTCTCCGTTTTGCCGAGGTGAGGTCAAGTGAATGACCACACTAGGATCCTGTATGCGTGTTTCGGAGACACAGCATACATCAATGGTACGAGATTCTAAGGTTTTAGCCAAGGAAGCCTGCTGACCGATTTGGCATATTGTGCGTACGTTGAAGGCTCCAATGTGTAGTTTGGAGCGAGGTTTCAGTAGACCTGGGACAGTGTTTTGAGCATTAGAATCGTTGGCTGTGGTGACACTTGAGGAGGAAGCTAATAGAGGAAGTTTAGTGTATAAAGTCGATGTAGGAGGAATAATAGGAATTGAAGAGGGAGGTTGACTATGAATACAGTGGTCTTGAGTGCTGTTAGAGGTATGAGGGCGGTTATCACTTCCCGGTTGCCCACACCGTGGAAGGGTTCTTCTGGAGGTACCTGAAAAGGAAATTGGATTAGAGTTGGTCATTGTGACCTGAGAGCGTGACCGCAGTGCCCAAGGGACAGCTGCTTGAGGTCGGTCACACACGACCTTTTTATGAGTGATTTTTGTGTTAGCTCCGTACTTGTTGAGTCCTTACCGCCGGAGACGGATATCCGTGGGATAAGGCGAGGTGTGCATTTTTAGGGTCGACCTTTTCTAACCCCACCCCTCCTTGTGGGAAGGCAGCATCGCTGTCATGCTGGTTGTCTGAAGGAAACACCTTACTGCTGTCACACCTCTGTACAGTCAGCAGTACGACTTCGCCTTCGGACCTTGGTTTTGTTGCTTTTAGTCTTACCGCTCTTCAACCGACCTGTCTGGCATGGTAGGACCTTGAGGAACGGTTGTTCCAGCCAGTATAGCTCAGTTGCTTCATCACGATAGGCAAGCCCGACCACCACGTCAAGGTAGCAACAACGGTCAGGTTTTCAACTGGGTAAATTTATTCAAATAGTACTGACAGCCACCAAGATTATGATCGTTTGACAAATTGCAAACCAAGTTTGGATTTGTCAGTACAGCTCAATGTATTAGTGATTCAATGTCTTAGTTTGACAGCTCCTACTATTCTTTCAACTCGATATTTTCGTGGTTACCACAGTATGACATAAAGATAAGTTGTGATTACACTGAGAGACCACTGAGTAGTACTCGCTAGTGTTGACTGAATACTATCGAGTATGTTGGAATGTACCCACCACTAGTGGAAGTAATCTGACGTTATGGTTAAAAAATTAATTAAACAAACTCAACGAATAAAAGTTTGCAGCATGAAATTTGATTTACGGAAGTCGCTATTTTGTACTATTTTTATGATTAGGGGAAAAACGCCACTGAGGTTGGTGGCCATCATGCGGAGAGGCTTTGTAGAAGTTATACGTTAACATCAAGTATAACAAATGATGTTTTTATGGTGATTTAAATCCTAGAATTTATCGTTATCATAGTAATTTGTAAAGTAATTATCCGATTTTCTAAAAGAAATCGTGAGCAGTGGAGTTGAACCATGTCAGGTATGAAACAGTTATCTATCGCAGACAATAAAAGATAGTTGAGAAGTACTACAAATTGGTCGGAGTTAGACAACCATGCAATTAGATATTGACTCAGTTGTCTTCAGATTACGGGGCTCACCACGAGATCTGAGGATTCTAGGTTCAACATCCAATGGAGTCTTGGGTGAGTACTATAAGACTGAAAAGTATTCTGAAGATTTATTTTAATAAGCAGTAAAAATGTAGCAGGTATCACAAAATTCATTAAATTATAATAAATACCATTATTATTATTATTATTATTATTATTATTATTATTATTATTAACCTGAAAGCAGTTAGAATCGGTATAGAATACTCGATCTTTATTCAAAAGATTAGTTTGTATTGTCATAAATATGTCAATATCAGTAGGACGACTAACTTTTATGTTGGCAATGTTCTCAATCTCAACGAACTGTGATTGTAAACCAGCTGAGAACAACAGAAAGCAAACAACAATAATTAAATCCATGGTAAAAAGCCGGTGAGGAGGAGGCAGAACACAATTTAAATAGTAGGGTATAACAGTCTATCACTAACTCATATACATGAATGGATCTATGTCTGTGTGACCATGTCGAGAATGCTAGACCCCCAGAAATCACTAGGCAAACGCCTCATTTATGTAACTTTAATTTGGAACTTCGAATATTTGATTTTCGCACCAAAAGCCCGCACTTTTACCCTCAGTTAGTACCTACCAATTAGAAGGACCTTAAGTGTCATTGGTTTGTCTTCTTTTATACGCTATTCTGCGACGTTTGCCAATGACATTTTGTACTCATGAGTTTTGTGCCTGTTCGTCTGTGCTTCTGTTTGCTTGCAGAATATACATTTCTCACGAACGAATTTGGTCTTTTCCCTCTAGTTAGGAGGGCTGGGGCGCAGTGGAATAGTTTAGTTTGTATTGTCGTAGTGTTGACAACTCATTCCGTTTGTCAATGTTAGGTGATATCGTAATTTCTCCAAATGTAGCAGACCAGGAGATAATAATGATATTTAAACATGCCACATACAAAGCGTTACTTGCTGTCAGAGTTATTATTGCTAAGTTCTTAAGACCAAGTAACTGTATTTAGAGCTATAAATCAACTAAAAAGATATTCTATCAGGAAGAGGGATCCGTGTAGAATTGGTAGATTGGCTTTACATCCAGAAACGTAAACAAAATAAACAACTATAACATCGAACATCATCATTAAAACTGAAGATTTCTAACCATTGGTTATGATAATCGCGTACACAAATTAATCTGCACCTAATAAAACAGCTTAATTAGAAATAGTTACTGACTTCATGAAATGATGCCACTTCTTGATTTAGCCGCCTCTAGTTCGTTACTATTTTGCTTCAGCCAACATAGTGTATCGAAGCGAGAGGTGGTTGAGAATTTGTAACGCATGTCCCAACTACCTTATTCGATGAAGTTTCACTACCCCCATCGGACGATTCGCCAACCTGTGTTTAACCTCAACATTGATCACATGGTGATCCCAAGATAAACAAGTAATGCTTTGTGGTCATTTAAAATAAAATAAAGGTAAATTACGAATATCCTATATTTTTAAAGACCACGTTTCACAAGTATAAAGTAGAACGGTACAAACTGTTGGGCAGGATACTCGTTCTGTGTTCGATAGACAGACAATTCGCATACATCAAACGTGAATTTCGAACTATTTGATGGCATTCACCCAACTCCGTTCAAAATACTTGTGACTCAATGGCTATATCGTGTCAATCCGGACAAGATCCACGTACGTCAAAAGAAACCCATGAACTACAGTAATAAACATCAATCGGAACTTCAACAGACCATATGATATATATATATATATATATATATATATATATATATATATATATATAATTCCTTCAGTAATACAGGTAGAGAGGAAACAGAAAAGAAAGTACTATCAGATGTCAGTCAAACAGACGACTTACATGATTTGTACAAACGAACTTTATGTGTAACATACTGCGTGTAAACTATCACTTCATCCACCAAATTACCTTTAGTGTAACGATACGATTTTGGATTTGATGAAGGCTAATAACATAAATAAGGATAAATACACAATACAAATAAATCATTGTGGCGCATATGTATTCGGTGCCCCTTTGAACCAATATTTATATGTTGAAATAAAAAAATTTTTTAAAAATCATTTATGTTACAAACTACTGTAGAAAATCAAAAATCACTGGATAGGTATTTCGTTAAGTTACTCACCAAAAAGATTAGAATGAAGTTTGTGAAATGTTAAGAGGCTGCATGTGTTCAGTGGATTTCTTAATCACAGTAACATACAGATTATATATATACGTGCATATATATTGGGTTTTGCTTGTGTCTCACATGCAACAACTCACTTCCTTACTGTAAACACGAAATCGAATTTTTAATGTGTATAGACAAGTGTTCAATATAGAGACATGTTTTAGACTGAAATTATCATTGATAAATTTGATATAGATTATTTCTCAGAAGAAACTCGTAGCAGATTGCTGAATAAAATATTAGAAATATTTGCATTTTTAGCACTAAAATTAGTTAGCTAGTCAGCTATAACGTAGGACCAGGCACATATATGCATCGATCCAAGTTGCCATACCTCATTAGCACAACAAGATGAACACCGGATTCATAGAAGTAGTTATAAATGAAAGATTGTACATAAAAGTACAGTACTGGAAGAAAGAATTAGTTCGAAGAAAGAAAGATATGAAGCGATTTTTATTTTTTAGTTTAAGGGAAGACAAAGAGTGTATACATACTTAATAACTTGTATCAATATAGTATCAGGTTATTGTGAAACTTTGGTGATAGTGTTAATTACACAAATTAAGATATCATTCACCATGGTTCATTGAGTACTTGTTTACTTACATAAAAGTATTTATATAATGGATGAAAACGGCATTTTCTAGGTCATATCGATCATATCAATGTACAGTTAACAGAATGAATCTAATAAAGGTTATTGATTTACATTAGTAAGAGAAGGGATTATAAGAAATGATTTTTATTTCTTGGTTAATTGAGCTGATTAACTTTAAAGTTAATTAATTATTGAGATAATGATAAACTTGTGTCGATTGGAAATGAATTGGCTGTGTCGTATTATGTAATTAGAGATTTCAGTCTCGTGAAGATCAGACTAGAGAAAACCAGGCTGCTTTTCGACCTGGACGTGGTTGTATAGACCAAATATTCACACTACGTCAGGTCCTAGAACATAGACACACATTCAGACGCCCCACAATCGTAGTATTTCTTGACCTTAAGGTGGCATTTGACTCTGTTGATCGTGAGGTTCTATGGCAGTGTTTGTCACTGAAAGGAGTACCAAAAAGTACATTAACCTTATAAAGGCTCTCTACTCGAACACAACTGGTCGAGTGAGAGCTTATGGCGAACTGTCATCAGAATTGATTACCTCAAGTAGTGTTCGTCAGGGCTGTCCACTCTCTCCATTCTTGTTTAACTTTGCCGTTGATGTGCTTTTAAAAATAACACTTTCCATATCTGACTTTCTAGGGGTTGAACTTCTACGGAAAGGTTCACTTGTTGACTTAGAGTATGCCGATGACATAGTTCTATTTAGTGATGACGCTGAAAACATGCAGAGTCTGCTGACCACTCTAAGCAACAATGCAGGCATGTTCGGCATGCGATTTTCTACCTCGAAATGCAAAATGTTGATTCAGGATTGGGTTGCATCGACACCCGAACTAGTGATAGGGAGTGAGGTAGTTGAGCGTGTCGACCGCTTCACTTATCTTGGAAGTCTCATCAGTCCTTGTGGTCTGGTGTGTGACGAAATCTCAGCACGGATACAGAAGGCTCGACTAGCTTTTCCAACTTGCATTATTTGTGGCGTAGGCGAGATATCCGTCAATCAACCAAAGGACGTGTTTACTGTGCAGCAGTTCGTTCCGTCCTACTTTATGGCAGCGAAACATGACCAGTAAGAATAGAGGATATTCGTAGGTTACTAGTATTCGACCATAGATGTCTTCGAAACATTGCTCGTATATCCTGGGACCACCGACTAAGTAACTCAGTTGTTAGGAAACGGGTACTACGTAAGGATGGCAAATCAATTGATGAAGTAGTGAAACTTCATCAGTTGAGATGGCTGAGACATGTGTTACGAATGCCCGACCACCGACTGCCCCAACGTGCGATGTTTTATGGTGTAGGAGTAGGTTGGAAGAAAGATAGGGGTGGCCAGACCAAAACATGGCACAAATCCATAACGTCACTGACAAGTGGACTGAGCCATGTTCGTAGGGATAGACTACCTGGTTGGGGTCAGCGAGACGATAGCAACCGATGGTAAGAGATCTTGAATGACATGGCTCAAAATCGTTTGCAATGGCGCAAGTGCATCCACTCTTTGTTTTCTCTCAAACTCTAATCTTCTGATTTCTTCATGTCCTTTATTTTCTTTCCAAATCTATTCCACTGGATTATACTACTTAAATAACATCATCAAACACTAATGTTCCCCATCACTACTTATACTTTCACTGCCTCTAGCACTACGGAATTTGAATCCATAACTGAATCTCTGTGCTACTGTGGTATGGCGACTCGAACTGATGTACGTACGTACGAAGTTCCACGTTGTTTCTGACTGACTGACCGATTGAGAGATTTCAATACTAAAACAAAATCGATCTTGTATGCTCTCTAAATTTATAAGATAACTCGATTGATATCAAATCTTCGGTGGATATAATCTACAAATTAACCCATTCACGAATTACATATTTATGTAGTTAGCTTTAAATTACACTTTTGATAATGTGGAAAGGCTGGTGACACCGTAGTTAGCTAGGTGAAACAGAAGAGAGCTAAGGATCTATATCTCATACACGAAGATTTGAATAGTTTAAGCATCAGTTTGACTGAGTCATGTTTACACAAATAAAATGTCCAATTACTAAGAATTTGTAACACATTATAAATCTTAAACTATCCCGATGAACTAAGAATCATTGGCATATATGCATCCTTGATGGATTGCCTCGATGTTGCCAGATATTTACAGGTGTCCTAGTAAATTTGAATAATGGCTAGCAGTGGAATCTAGGATGAGGTTTTCACACACACCCCATTCGGAACTTGTCCGATGGATACACATGGATTTCAGCGCTGATATCCACGATGGAACTCGAACCTAGAACCGTTCACTTAAGTTCTCCAATACTTTATCAACTGAGAACGGTGTGAACATCAACACTAGGATACAGGAATATTCAATGGATGAGTCTCAAATTAAACGAAACGTGTATCTTGCCCGTATCACATTGGCAGTCAATATCTAACCTTACTAAAAAATGGCAATAAATGTTTTTTTTTATCCCACCCATTAACTTTATTTTCCATATACACAAACAGAATAATTTATTTCAACTGTTCAAAAGCATTTAGTTCAGCAGAATTAGATGGTCAATAAACCTTGACCTACAGAACAAAAACCATGTGTAAATTACCATTATTATTATTATTGTTATTATTATTATATATCCTAGGGAAATTTTACTTACTTCACCTAATCCATCAGGGATAAATAAATAAGCGCCACTATGTGAATCACCTTCTAAACTTTTATATTGTATAAAGTTAATTTTCATGTCCATAGATTGTCCAGTTAATTTATTCAACATTTTCTATACAAGAAATAAAATAGGAAAAAATAATATACATTAATTTAAAGGTCTGCAAATTGACGGATAATAATCAATGAATATTTATTGACAGGAGGTGAATAGTATATTCAATAAAGTTGTTAACTCAACTTATATAAGCATTATTTTCATTTTTGCATATTTGTAATAGAAACACCGATTTCATTTCTTATAAATTACTTTGAAAGTGATTAGAAGTCGCATACACTAGCTATATTGTTGTGATTACTTTTTGCTATGTAATGGTGATTTTTTCAAATTTATTTCATCAGTAATCATCTTCTAGACAGTGAATCAGAGTCAAAAGAACAATAGACCACAAAAAGCTCAAGGTGATAGGTCGTCATCAATACAAAAGATCAACGATCGTTCTAGGTTTTAATAAGTCTTCACCTTTCTATCAGCTCTTGTAGAAACGCTCGAATCATCTAAAAAAAAACATGTTTTTTTGTTATATCCGAACGAAGAATAAATGAGTGATAACTTCCAGGAATTATTTCTAGACCACTTTTATATATACAGTATGAGTGATGACTGAAAAGATCAGGCAACGAAGTCACGATTCAAGCAAATATAAACCAGTGAAATAAAAACACAAAGAATGTTATGAGGAAGTCAAAGGCTCAGAATTCGGGGAAAGACAAAGAATGGATGCACCTGCATCACTGAAAATAATTTTGAGCCATGTCATCCATGGTCTCTAACCACTAGTTAGGGCAACCACGCGGACCCCAACTAGGTAGTCTGCACCTATAAACATGACTTACTCAAACTGTCAGTGACTGAGGTCATGTTTTGGCTTGGCTGCCCACTAGCTTCCTTTCAGCCTACTACTCCAACACACAAAACATCGCTCGTCAAGGTAGGCGGTGGTTGGGCATACACATACTCCAACCAACAGCAATAACATAACTAAATTCTCTTTAACACAAAAATATAGTTTTTTATTAGGGTCGCGAACCAATCCAAGTTAAACAATTACTGAAAACCTGGATAACTGTTTCGTCTCAGTATGGAACTTCTTACTAGTGCGTACCCACAACCCGCTACCAGGAACCGGACCCAAGACCATTGTAAAGAAAACGAATAAGGTCAACTAACCAATTATATGAATGGAGATTAACCGAACAAGACTATAAAAAAGAAAGTTAAAGATGAATAAAAATGACAAAACACTGATGATTTTATCAAGTGTCAATGAAAGTGAGGTCAGGTTACGCCTCGTCGAGCACAAACCATCGATCAGGATTCTCCAACCAACTTTGTCCTGGGCTCTGCTTTCCAGATGTTCCCAAGCACTACTCATTCTTTTGATACCTGTCCCAAATTCCTAGAGTAATTTGTTCTTTGGTTAGCCCCAGGACAAAAGGAAAAGGGTCAGATCTAGATGATTCCATCTGACTTTTGTGATATAGTGAGACAACTTGAACCAGTACAGTACAGTACATGTATATAGAGTATGCATAAAGTCATTCAACAGGAAAGACTTTCCGCTTCATACAATTAATAGACAGTTATTTTAGTCTACAATCTTGGATCTCCGAAAAAAACTCATGAATTAAAACAAAATGTTACGAAAAAATCACATTAAAAAATATATAAAATGAGTAAGGATGAACTGTGAAAAATAGGTAGATATAAAACAAGTAACCAAAATATAGAAAAATACTTACTTGAAGATAACCAGTTTTAGAATCAAATTCCAGTTGAATATAATCATTCTCTATGAAAAGTTGAGGACGACTTCAACGTGAAAAATTAGGACGAGAAGTTAAACGAAATAAACGCAGTGTTAATAGTAAATACAATAATAAATGAATAACACAACGATAACATGTGATTGTAAAAAGAACTCATTGGAATATTTATATTATCGGTGTGATTTTGAAAGTTCGAATTCTGATTTAATCTTAATTAGATCACCATAGAAGAGGTGATTCGCTGACGACACATGCAGTTGCGAATCGCAACAACAAGGAAATGCAAATCTTCATATACATATGATTTTACAGCCGATGAACAATTTAGTGATTATCTAGAATCATTAGCTCAATGGATAATACTCTAACTTTAAAATAAACATTACGGTGTTCGAGTCCCAGTGTAAACATTGAGATTGGGATGTAAGAAAGCACATCTGGCCGATGAGTCTCATAGAGGACGAAACACAAGTCTTATGTTTGAATATTAGCTAAACTACGGTTGATAAAAGCCAACAATCTAAAGTGAGATACGTTACATCTATGTTCAGAGAATTTAATTGGATATCATTCACTAGAACCAAGTAAAACTACTTCGATTATTTTTTTTAACTACTTTTTTTCTACAATTATTTGTTTCAACTGTTATTCCTTAACAAATTTCGTTTAAAACAAAGCAAAGTATCATCAGTAAATTATGTCACTATAGTAGTTTAAACTAATACGTAATATCATTATACTCATCTAGTCTATTACTCCATGTACAAGAGTATCATTTTACCAACATTATACATAATACACAAAAACTCATATCAATCAAAACTTACTTATGAACTAATATCTCAGCATCATTTATAACTGGTATTAATTGTGGATTTACTTGTACCATAGACGATGATGTTGGCATTGATGTTAAATTCAATTCAATACATGTAAATGAAAGAGGATATAATTTAACTGGACTTAAATACAACAAACTAACATGTTGTTGTTGTTGTTGTTGTTCATGTTGATAATCATTTGGTATATTTGTTGAGCTATACTCTAATTGTATATTTAACTGATTATATAATATTTCCATAGAATTCGAAATAATCTGTTTAGCTTGAAAATTCATTAGATGACTTTTTACATGTAATGTAATTATTTTACTATGATTACGAGTTGATGGATTGAAAATGTAAATACGACTGTGATTATTATAAAAAGAAAAAAGAAAAAGGAAAAAAACCAAGAGTAGTAGAGTAAAACAGAAATAAAAGTGATACAATAAAAAAAAATTGAGAATTATTAAAACATTTATGTGAATACAATTAGTATTTGTCGAATAAGTGTACACAAACTGTGTCTTGACACAACTATAGACTTAAAATGGACAATTGTACAAATTGTCCAAATATGTGTTTATTAAACACAATATAAAATGTCAAATGTTTCTGGATCCTCCGTATCCACCTAGGAGAGTTGGAAAACCCTAATTTCAAACCAATGGTGTACATGGGCTCCAGGATCCTGAGGGAACAAATGGCGTATGAACCTATTGTTGGTCATCAGCTACCATAGGACTGCCTTATGGATCAGACCTTTAGGTCGAAGGTTCGGGATGTGGCCCCCTAAGAATACCACCTGCTTCGGTCTCGGCACACGGGCAGTATCCTAGCCCTCACATAAATCAAATGATTTACGTGGCGCATATCTATTTGGTGCCTTTTTGTACAAATGTTTATGTGTTTAAACAAATCTGACCCATGTATACTGAAGGAAAGTGTGATTAGTCTTTTCCTGCCATGGTCAACAGGAGTTCCTCTTAACCCAACCACATATTATTAATTTTATTACGTTTATATAATCTCTTAATTATTACTGCACAACATCTAAATACAAATCAATCTTAACTGTGTTTATTCATACATTTTATATCCCTATTCTTCTAATTATAATGATTTTGGTTACTTTTCGAACATTTACGCTTAACATTTATTAATAATTATATTTATATTCATAATTATAATTTCAGATTGTACGCAGATGATGAGAAACCGTGAAATAGATAGATGAATTAATTTTATTCTACAAACTTTGTTGAACTGATTCGTTGTTCAAAATTTATCAAGCGATTTGATTGTATGAAACATGAGTATAAAGAGAGGGAAAAACTAAGTTAAGTTCCGGTGAAAATTCAAAGCAAAAAAGAAAGAAAACAAGAGACAATTCATCAAAGGATCCGGTTGTATAAAAAAGAATCAATTGACTAGATTGTTAACTAACCGAGTATTTTCAACATCAGCATTACCATTATTCTGAAAGAAATCAATTAAAATTGGCTCTGAATATTGATGATTATGTAAATTATCTTCTAGAGAATAGAAACCATGTGAAATATTATCATTGCTATTATCATTTTTTCTTTCATATTCATCATTTAACTGAATTAACGTCTGTTTAAACTGACTAGAGACAGGTAGACGTCGTCTATTTGAAAACTCAATATCTGATTTTAACATTGATGGTAATAATAGCAGATAAGCACTAGAGATTGTAATTACTTTTCGCGCCGCATCGACAGCTCTCAATAATCTGTGAGGAAACAAAAAATCAGGATGTTCAAAAAAACAAACAAAAGGAGAAAATGTTTCTGAGATATGAAATTAATTTATGTGAGAAATTGTTGGATCTGAAATTTCACACCATAGAATGATTATGGTTGAACAAACACTGAAAACTATAAAGCATTAAATAGCTATTTCGACCTAGTATGGTAATTTATGACACCACAAGAGATTAAATCCAGAAACTTCAGGTCTCATGGGAAGCGTGAGGCAACACAAACTGCTGTGTCATACAGCGTCCGGTTTCGATATCGATACAAAATCTTATACACAGGCCTGATCAACTTTCCGAATAAAAACACGGAGAGTGAGAGGGAATGTATGTATACTCACGGATATATATACCGATCGTGTGAACTAATTACTTGGCAGATTTGCGACTGTTCCAATATATTGCAAGGAAAACACCAACGTAAAAAGCATAATCGTATTCGAATGAAGACAGTTTTTAAAAAATAACCAAAAGGGTTTCGAAAAAGCACGAATGAATAGAAGTTGGTGACCATGCTGTTTTCACAAAAACAGGTAAACCTAAAAATACTATGTAGCAACGCATAAATCGATTTTGAAACAGCAATTTCAGGGTCACGCAACAAAAATAAAGAAATACAGAAATTTTTATTATGGACTACCTTGTGAATAAATTCAGTAAGATCATACCGATAATTATTCTAAATTTCACATGCAGTATACGTTTTTCAAAGATAGATTAGAAAAAACTATGTATGTATGTATTACTATCGGTTCGAGGGAAGAAACTTTTTTAACTTCTCAATAGTTGTGAGTGGCCAAGTTAGGGAACCATTTAAAACATTGCACACGTCCATTTGGACAGTACTACATGTTGTGTGCACTCATTGCGTTGACATCTTGATTTGGGTAGCCAAAGACGGATCACAACAAACTTAAATGCCAAGTCACTGGAAAATTTTTAAATCTTAGAATTTCCAGGATCTGAAAAATGCATGCTCATTTATCGAAATTCTTGTTGGGGTTTATCTATATACACATAGAACATACGTAAGTGATTAAAGGTGATCGGTACTGGTCCAAATAATTCAATGGTATCTCTGATTAATATATTGATGATGCCGGTCTAATTTACAAATGGAGAATCATTAGTTGGTTAACGTTTACAAATACAACATACCTATACAAACGAACATAGTAACTAGGTGTAGGGTTAGTCTCACTAATCGCCTGAAACCATCTAACATTACTTTTGACTAGGCAAAATATAATTTAAGAATAAAAAATAGTGAATACTGAAATAATGAGGATTTGTAATTCAGTTGCATAGGCTGTGTTCTCGAAGCTAGTTGGTTTAACTGAGGAGCTTTGATTCTCGCTTTAGACAACATTATCAGCGCTTACTTCATGTAGAAGTGAGCTTTATATTTTTCTCACAAAACCTAACGGTTTTGTTTGTGATTCAGCATTGATGACGTTGTACACAATGAAAACGATAGCACCGCGATTAAACCATTTAGCTTATATAACATATGCGACTATTAGAAATGAATAAATATTTGTTTCCACATAAAACAAATATCTTACCTTTCTGAATAATCAAGCATTACTTCCGGTCGTGCTGTACCAGGCATTGCATCATGATGTTGAAATAAACCAAGATTACGTCGAACTATTGTAAGATTCTGATAAAGATTTGTAATTAATGGTATTAATTGAGCAACGCTTTGTATACGACCAACACTTTGTCTGGCAAAACTGTAAAGTATTTCAGCTGTTCTATGTATACAAAAGGAGAAAAGATTTAACAAAACAGAGAATAAATCAGTAAGATGAATATCGTTTACTTTTAAAGACCTGATATACAGCAAATCAAGGGTTAACTCTGATTACTACCAGTTAATTAGAATAGTATATTCTGTTCAGATTGTTATATACATTAATAGACAAAATCAGTGACAAACTAATCTAACTAGCTAGCTCATTAACATACAGCCTAGCAAGGATGTGTGTTGGCTCAGGTTTCCATAGAACATTTATATGACGAGATAAAAATAGTGTTTAAAATAATGTAGTAGCAATGATAAAAAGGATTAAACCTTTGGAATATCGTTTGAAAAGATAGTGGAAAATTACGTACGACGGGATAAAAGATCGGAAGATGAATGAATGCATCTGAGCTATTGTGGATGATACTGAACTAACCGGTCTCAGTTATTACGCGGATTCCAAAAACATGGTTCATATAAACGATCAATGACCTCACAGACAGAAGCACCGTTATATTTTGGCCGCCTCTGAATCCTGCTAGCCTACTCCTTGATGTAAATATTGTTAGTTGAAGTGATCACACATCGAGTGATAATCTTTAAGAATATTGTCTACATGGAAATTTGACGTTATAACAAAAATTATTACTGAAGTTAACTGACTAACTCCTTGCTTTTGCTTAAATATATTTGACTATCTACTAGAATACTGAAGTGTTAATATTTAGGTTATTCAATACATCATTGTTACTTGAGATAGATAAGATTCAGTGTTAATAATGATTTACGATAGTTACGTAATCAAGTCTAGTTTTATGTAAAAATCTTTGATCTATATATTTTTTGTTCAACAGCTAGGTGTACCCTGAATATAAAATGGGGTAAGATCCAAATATGCATATAAGTTGACATGTTCACTCGAAGTAAATCATGATTTGCTAGTGAGTGTAAACAGATGTAACTTTAGGAGCTATATATACACTAGACTATCTCATATTTTGCATTTCTTCTTTTCCTGTTTTCACTCTAAATCTATATCAATATAGATCGTTATTATTGATATCTGGTTCTTAATGAAACAGTTGAACTATCCATATTCAATCAGAACATACAAAATAAGTCATTGAGCTGTTAGCTCAAAAAATAATAATAATATACCTTAACTCAGATTCTAATAAACGTGATAAAAATTTTTCATAAGGATATGAATTGTAATATCCACTCCAATAGTCATGTTGTCGATCTGCGTAAGTAAAGAAATCACCAGATAATGATGGAAATGATGCAGAAAGTGCTGAATTCATTTTGTTTACTCGTTCATTTAATGTATGAAAATAATTGGATAATGTAGAGAAACGTATCTATTAATAGAGAAAATTGAAGATAACAAATGTAAACAGGTTAATTACAAAAGAAAGTATTGAAGACAGAAACAACACATTAGGAATCTGTTTCTAAATCATTACTATAACAAGAAGTAAACTCATACTACTAATTTATATGCTGAAATTCGGTTAATCAGTTATTTAAAAAGAAAGACGTCCAACATGGTACATATATCCATCAGTTTAAGTTTTCACACTAAAACAATACAGTTAGATGAAATTATCAAGATAAATACTAGAATGGTAGACGTAGTAATAATATGATTCGATAAGAAACAATGAATTCATGAAATAAAGTGTTAGATAATCTTAGAATTAAAATCTAAGGGAAAAAAAACGAGTAAATACATTTGTGCCATTGAAATGGTATGGTTACGATAACAACATGAACTTCAACTAGGTAGTCAGTACATATTTATGAAGAGAACCTAATAGTCAATGACTTCATTAAGTGATGGTATGTCTTGGTTTGATCGGACCTAGCTTCCTTTTAAACCATAAAGTGTACACGTAAGCAAGACCTGTTACAGTTCTCAATCAACGAACACTAATCATTTTATCAAGCTATTTACCATCTATGTCTAGTACTCTGCATCCAACCTCAACACTGTTCATTCTATAGTCTCAAAATAGGCAAGGATTCTTTTAATGTGATCTAGTAATTCACAAATATCAAACTGAGTTAGGCACCCAATATGTATTTAGATTCGTGTGCAACAAATCCATACGCATATATACACATCCATTTTATTGTAAAATTCCATTTAATACTAGTTGAGATCGAAGTAAATTGAACAAAAAAGAGCAGACCCAGCACTCAACTGTTAAGAAAACAAAGCCTAATCTACGATGAATATATTTAATGGAAAAGCACTACTGGTAGTAGTAGCACTATTGGACGTAGTTGTATAGACCAGATATTTACACTACGTCAGGTCCTAGAACATAGACACATATTCAGAAGCCCAACCAACGACTGTTCCGAGGTGAGATGTTCAATGGTACAGGAGTAGGTTGGAAGAAAGGTAGGGGTGGCCAGACCAAAACATGGCACAAGTCCATGAAGTCACTGACAAGTGGACTGAGTCATATTGGTATGTGTAGACTACCTGGTTGGGGACCGCGAGACGATAGCAACCGATGATTAAAGACCTTGAATGACATGACTCAAAATCGTTTACAATGACGCACGTACATCCACTCTTTGAGTTTTCCCAAATAATAATCTTCTGAATTCTTTATGTCCCTTTCCTTTTTCTCTTTCCAAATTTATTTCACTGGATTATACTCCTTGAATAACATCTTCAAACCCTAATGTTTACGTTTACTGCTTATACTCTTACTGCCTCTACCATTATGGGATTTGAATCAACAACTGCATCTCTGTGCTAATGTGGTATGGCGACTCGAACTGATGTACGTACGTACGAAGTTCTACATTGTTACTGACTGACTGACTATTGGTAGTGATTGCGTAATACATTTAAAGAATTATAACAAACTTTGTACTAAACAACTGTTATAACTGGACGAATATGAATACATGAGAAATTATCAGAATATAATAACACAACGTATTGAAATTATGAATAACTGAAATTTTCGAAATACAGTCAAATGTTAGACTACATAATTATCATAGTGAATCAATCCGTAGTCTAACTCTTGATAGCTTCTAATCATCTACGCCGCTCCCAAGAGAGTTGTAAGATTTCATTCTTGGGTTGATGCTTAGCACCTTTGACTTTATTATAGAGTTATGTTCCAGTACCATAATAGCGATAAAGGACAGTAATCAAGCAATATGGAGAGTTGACAGATGTTGTGTTAGTGAGAACTGTTTAATATCAACGGAGTATGTTGACAAAAATAATGTGATTACCACGGGACTAACGAGTGAATTGTAGATAGGCACTGACTAGTAGATTCATTAATAAAATGAAATAGTTGTTTAGTGATCCGTAGTCTAATTGAAATGGGTTCGTGATTTCAACTATTTTCAAGTTGAATAATATAAACTTGAAACACCATCGATATTATCCGAATAGGTGGGGAATCTTTGGTCAATTCGGAGATATTTAAATGATAAAATATTGCTTAGTTTACTTACAACAACAAATTTAATCATCATTGAACTAAAGGTAAATGTAAACTTTAAAAAAAACACGACTAGACAGATCCAATACCATTGAAACACGATTAATCAATTTAATTTCAAACTACTATTAATCTGTGCTATTAAGTAGTATGCATATACAACACAAATTTTAAAAAGGAGGATTGTCTTGTGAAGTAGTTCATGCAGAAAACTTACTTTCATCTTATAACTAGGATTTGAATTGATGTGTTGAATTAATTTATTATAATTATCCAACTGAACGCTCCATTCATATGTTGATTGATAACGAAAATCATCACCTAATGGGATTAAAACTAGACCATTATTATTGTATAATGTAGCCTTTTTCCTGTACTGGTCAGCTAACATATCAGCTCTGTAAATTTGACAATTAGCAAGAAAAAAACGAATATTGTGGAGATATGAACAGATAAGTTGAACATATGTAGGTAAAACAATATTGTGATCTGTATGTAAAAGGTAGCTGAACAACTACTTAAAATGGTTACAAAAACAAATGAATTCCGATGGTTTGGTAAAAGTGTAGGATAAACAAACATTTCCCCATCATGAAATGGTGAGTTGCAACGGGACATATAGTTATTATTAAATCAGCTTTATTGGTATTGCGGTCAGGAATGAACACCAAGGTTTATGGAATTATTAGCCACACAAAGATTCAAACGCCATTGATGTGTTGAAAAATAATTTTAATTTCACCCTGAACCTACTCTCATGATATTGAAACAGAGTGGTGTAATTTGTGTTGTTCCTTTGTCATAATGACCTTTGCCTTTGTCTTCCAAGCCGCTTAGTTTGGTTTTTCCTTTTTCATATATAAATTTCTTAATAGGTAAATATGTGATTATACTGCTATTCAGAATGTACTAAGTTAATACATTACAGTAGTTCTGATAAACTTCGTTTTCTCATTGTATTATTTAAATGTGTCTAAGTGACTAAATGTTCTAAATAAAGTAAACGCTACATTATGACAACGGAGTTAAGTAAGCCCAATGGTGCCGACCCACTGGTTTAAATTAAGTACTCACTGTGAGGTCTGAAGTTCTTAGGTCCAACCCTCTTTGTAGTCATAGATATCTACTACTAAGGTGTCGCATATCAGGAAGAGATGGCTATTTAGTGCTTCCTGGCTTTTATTAGTTGTCGGTGATGTAAATTAAAAATTCCACTAATTTCTACAGACCACCCTATGACAATCATTATGTGCTATTCAGTCATGTATCAAAAATGTACCTATATACTAATTTAATGTGTTGATATACCGTAATAACTTGGACTGCTGTACGTATCTATCAGGCTCTACAACGAATATGACGCCATAAAATATTACAGAAAAGCAAATACTTGTGAGCATTTACTCACCGAACAGCAACATTTGAATCATCTATGAGAACCGGTGATTTTTTCCATGGGCAACCGTACTTTTCCATTCGAATAAAATCAAACTGACAGCATACCGCAGGTTCTGGACCACATGTATGCGGAACATCATATGAAAAGAACGGAAACATATGCGCCAAGATAGAGTGGGAACCGGTGGTATCTGTAAAATAAAAACCAATCATTAATACGAGACAATAACGTGGTAAAAATTACTTGTGAATTTTACACTCAGTTGCGAATATATCATGAGTAGTTCATTCATTAAAAAGAACAGATAGAAATAGACTTTTCATTTTCTAGTGTAACTTACTGTTTTTTTATATCGAGTTGAATTAACTGAACTTCTCATTTTATTGGGTCTTATTATGACAGGTAGGTTGGTTGAAGAGGGGTTTTGTTAAAAACAGCAACTTAATTTCCAGGAGCTAAGTAGCATAGTTGTGATGGCATTAAGGTGTACTCCCCAAACAACCAACATCTCCAGCAACGCTGTCTTCATACAACGAAAGGAGGGGGTTAGAAAATGTTGGTCGTGAAATTGTCACACTTGAACTAACCCAGAAGACTTCCGCAGTTGCATTAAATGTACAGAGTTAAAACAACTCGCAAAAAAACCATGTGATCAACCTTAATTAGTTTTCCCTTAAGTTCCAATGCTAAAGGGTATTATTTTTAGGTGTTTCAAAACTTAAACCCTTGCCAGTTTATGTTGCAAGCTTTTGAGTCAAATATTATCAAGGATCTGAAACGAAAAAGACACGTTTCGAAAATGTAAGTCAACTGAATGATATCCGATGCAATATCACCGTTTATATCCTGATAGAAACAAACTGACACTAAACATAGCTGAAAAAGTGTTGAGATAGCAACAATAATATCTGAAGTAAAAAAGATAATGGAAAAGACCTTTTTCTCGCTTACCCCATGGTTGATGCCATATAAATTCCAAGGCTTTACGACTAGCAAGATACTTTTTGACTTCATAATGTACACGATTAATAATCATTTGAGAGAAACCAAGCTTTTTCGCTATATATGGCATTGTTGAACTATGTCCAAACGGATCAATAGCCCATGTGACATTTGGTCTATAGTCTGGTAGTTGAAACGAAGTGTAAGGACAATAAAAGCGTCAACATTTTGTACGTCATTTTATTTATTATTTATTAGAATACATAAATATTGGTACAAAGGAGCCCGAATACGTATGCGCCACACAAGTCACTCGCTTTGTGTGTGGACTGTGATACTGAAAGGGCGTCCAGACCAAAGCAGGTGGTTTTCTTAGAGGGCCACATCCCGACCCTTTGACCTAAAGGTCTGATTCACAAGGCAGTGGAGCAACATCAGGAGATACAGTCCCATAGTAGTCGGTGACCAACGATTGGTTCATATGCCATTTGTTCCCTCAGGATCCTGGAGCCCATGTACACCATTGGTTTGGAATCAGGGTTTTCCAACTCCCCTAGGTGTATCCTCCATATCCACCAGCCCAGTTAAAGCGCCGGACATTCGCTTTTGGTCTTTTCGATTTTGTAAACAACAGACCCGCCATGAGAAGGCAGTGGCTTTATACACGTGGCTGTGTGAGAGCGTTTGGAGAGAGAGAGCTAACTCTCCCCACCCTTGGCCGTACCAGGACATTCGGGGGCTGTCATGTAAGGAGACCCTGTGTAAGACTTAATTTGCCTACAGACTAATTTCCTGAATAAGTCCCTACACTGTCACACAAGTTTTGGCAAACTCATAGCCAACACAAGTAACTAATGTATACATACCCAACAAAAACATAGCCAACAATTATAATCTGTTTCTAAAACGTAAATTAGTACAGTTAATACAAAAATACAAAGTAGAAAAACCAGTTAAAAACGAACTTCAAGTACACGTCTAATAGACAGTGGTCCTTTTGCAACGGTAACTAATATATTTACTCTGAAGAAATGACTTATATTCAGTCACGAAACATCAGAAATACAGTTTTCCACTCATTGGGATATCACAAATAGTAAATTTATCGTTAACTTTCAATTCAATGCCCAATTCATTCAAAACTATCAAGAGAATGAATTAATATTATTGATTTGATTTGACAGTGAATAAGTTTATATTATTTTTGATTATATACATTAGTTATTCAGTTTCCAGGATAGAAAATTGAGTTGACTAGTAGTTTAGACTTACACAACAGTCAATTCATGAAGCTTGAGATTGATTAGTTTAAGCATTTTATTCCTACAGGTAAATCAAATCACTGAATACCTTATTACTAATTTCTTCCATTCCCATTCGTGTTCAAACTTAGATCGGAGTACCAGTTCGTTTTCGAAGGATTAGATATATGTCTTGGTAACAAATACTAACTAGTAGGAAAACCAGGACATTCAAAAATTCTTGCCGGTTGCCAATATCCGCCACCACAATATCAAGTTACATAGCCTATTGGTCATAGTACAAGTTGATTGATATAATCCGATCAACACTAGTGATTACACAACACAACATTGGTGATAATTTAACGACCAATTAATATTGAATTCATAGTATTGATTGTGAGACGATAGCAACGAATGATTAGAGACCTTGAATGACATGACTCAAAATCGTTTGCAATGACGCACGTACATCCACTCTTCGAGTTTTCCCAAATAATAATCTTCTGAATTCTTTATGTCCCTTTCCTTTTTCTCTTTCCAAATTTATTTCACTGGATTATACTCCTTGAATAACATCTTCAAACCCCAATGTTTACGATTACTGTTCATACCCTTACTACCTCCATCACTATGGAATTTGAATGAACAACTGCATCTCTGTGCTAATGTGGTATGGCGACTCGAACTGATGTACGTACGTACGAAGTTCTACATTGTTACTGACTGACTGACTAACTGAGTATTGATTAGATAAAATTATTGTTTTTTATAAACTCATTTAATTGAAAAAAAACAATAATTTTTTTATAAACTCATTCAATTGGCCCACAAATGCCCTGGTACGACCGAGAGTGGAGAGAGTCCGCTCTCCCTCTCGAAAGGCTCTCACATGGCCACGCGTATATAGCCTCTGACAGGGAAGTCCTACTCACTGCCTTCTCGTGGCAAAGGTGTTGTTTATGAAAATGAGAGGACGAAAAGCCAATGTTCGGCGCTTTAACCGGATCCCCAAACCAATGGTGCACATGGGCTGGCTCCAGTATCCTGAAGGAACAAATGGCGTATGAACCAATCGTTGGTCACCGGCTATCATGGGACTGCATCTCCTTACCATGCTCCACTGCCTTGTGGGTCAGACATTCAGGTCGAAGGCTCGGGTGTGGCCCCCTAAGAAAACCACCTGGTTCAGTTTGAGCACCCGGGCAGTATCACAGCCCTCACACAAATAAAATGAGATTTGTGTGGCGCATATGTATTTGGTGCCTCCTTGTACCAATACCTATGTGTTAAACTAAATAATAAATAACATTCAATTGAATATGATCCATATCCCAAGTGTGATGGCTAATAATACTACTACACGTTTATTGAAATTGAAGCAGATAGAGTAGAGTTTGAACCTGGAAATTAATAGCCAGAAGTTGAAAGCCTTAAACAATAATCTACCCCTCTATAATAGATTAAATTAGATGAAACAAATGTCTTATACTTTACATCATTTACCCTAGTTTCTAAGTTAATTTCAGTTAATGATCAAAAAATATCAGAAGGGGTTTTGTGGAGATTGTACTAATTTCAATGGTTAAGATTATGAGTCAGTTGAAGCTAGACAACCATGGGAAACCTGGAAGCACTGGACGACCGTCTCGTCCTATCGTGGGACTCCTCAGCAGTGCGCATCCACGACCTCGCCCCCTGAGAGATTCGAACCCAGGGTCTACTGGTTTCGCGCACGAGTACTTAACCACTAGACCACTGAGCCGGCATCCAACGGTGTTAATGTCTAACTTCAAATAATCCATGAAATTGAGCGACACATCCACCATTGTCCTCAAAAAATATTTGTTCAGTAATATAATGTTAATTTAAGTTATTGTTAATAAAAGAATAGTTGGTTTCACCTTATAAATAGTGGTATATAGTTAGTACTAACCATTAAAAATACTATTATTTAATTTATTAGCTTTCAGTATTCACATATACAGATAATTGATTTTTTAATATAAAAGAAACATATTATAATGGAGTATTTTAACCTTTAACTCTTAGTTGAAAAGAAAAACGATTATTGTACTTATTTAGAAGTATTTATGAACATTTACACTAGCTAGTACAATATCTAAGATTCAACTAATTAACACATACATCTTTCAGTCAAATCCTTATCTCATAATGTGAAAAACGTTACATTTGAATACTAATTTGTTTATATTTCGAAAAATATGAAGATAAAACTCCTCTACGTATCAGGAGTTGATTACTCGATAGATGTAGATTATGTCTTTACTAAACTAATAATAACTAGTACAATTTGAAACGGTTTGAATGATCCCGTTGTCCATATTTTAACTGAAATTTGACATATGTGAATCCTGTGTAGATTGTCTTGATACATCCATTATAGAATAGATGGAATATAGTTAACGGTGGAATCCAGGAGAGAAACTCAGGGATGTGAGTACATCCTGATGACGAGTCCCAAATAAAACGAAATCAACCTCCTGGATTCTATTGCTAACCACATTTCATCTATTTTAATCACAACTTTTGCAACATATTAAAAAAAAACTTAGAAAATCATAATCAACGTAGATCCTGGCACGAATATAAGTTGGTCCGATTCCCCAAACAATATTAGCAAAACGAGATAAGATTAGCAAGATGAATAGAAACAGAGTCGCAATAACAGAGTACGAATAATTATGAGAAAGACTAAACATTGAGAAAACATTTCGAAAAAAAAAGGAATAAAAAGGTATACATGATAGAATACTGGAACTCAAAATTATAAGGGAGGTAGTGAGTGAAGGCACGTGCGCCACTACAATGAATTCTAAACGAATGCCATCCAATGTCTCCAACCACTGATCACAATAATTGTTGGGACTGATGCTTCAGTTTTCGTTTTACCACTGATAGATTTAGCCCAACTTACTCTTATACCAGTTGAAACCACTCATTAAGGTAAGTAGGCAGTGGTTAGTTATACGTACACATAATAAATATTCCAACATTAGCAAACAACTTTAATTTGACAATTTCTTGGAAAAAAACTAACCAAAGTGTTCTAATAACCAATGGTGACCTTCAATAAATTGATCAATAATCGAATAATAATGCGTAACTGCCTCATCTGGCATAACCCAGCCACCTGAAACAATTTCCCAATGTCCATTTTGCAACAATCTATGAAGTGAATAAACAAATTGTAAACAAAATAATAATTGTGAATCAATCAGAATCGGTAATATAAGGCGATGTAATTATATGTATAGATAGCGTATAAAGAGTATAGGATTTTGTGAAAGAAAGACATATGAAATCCTTTTTGAATAATACGATAAATTCAACTGATTGCTCAACAATTATCCGTAGTGTTGTGATTTGGTTTGTGCACGATCGATCCTTACGGAAATCGAATTATTGATCTCGAAGTTGGGTGTTTACTGAATCATTCATCCGGTTCAAAAATATTCTGTTGAAAACCTTTCATGGTACTGATAGTAGTGTGATTCGTCTATAGTTCTCACGTTTTCTCAGATCTCCTTTCTTCGGTATCTTGATGAAGTGCCCTCCTTTACAGTCCGCCCAACTCTTCCTGAAAAAAATGTGGGGCACGTTTGTAGTTACTTCTATGTCTGTTTCACTTAGCTTGCTTGTTTACTTCTGTGTATTCAGCTTGTGCCTTGATTTTCTCTGTTCTTGTTCGGTTGTTACTAATTCCTGTCTTCTTGTTCTTCCTTTCTTGAATCTTGTGTAGAGTTTATATAGAGATCCATTCTTTGTGATGATGCTTCATGAGGCCCAGAACCTCCTGACACGTTGAAGTTAGTGCTGCTTTGATCCTTTTCCAATCGTCCTCCATAGTAGTTTCTTTTTCTTTCAGTAGATCGTGTAAGGCTTGGAATCTGTTGTTGAGATCTAACTTGAATTCGTTGAGTTTGTCAGTATATCGAGGGAAGGCGGTATCGAACCTTTGTAATGCTGTTTCCCCAGTTGTCCATTGCTTCATTTCGGCAAGCACTAGGTAGTGATCTGAAGATATATATATATATATATATATATAATCATTCACAAATAAATTCGAATTACCCACCTTTTGAAAGATTGTTTTTGTTCCTCTGATAAAGTGTTTACCCATGAATCTAAAAATGACACTTCAGAATAGACAAATCTAGATTCTTCCTTTTCACTTAATGTCGTTAACGTAGCATCTAGAATAGGCTTTGTTTCAGTGATGAAGTATCTTTCAAAAGTTTTAACCCAACCTTAAAAAAGAAAATAGTGTAAACGTAAAAGAAAACTTTAGAATACGTCAAATAAAGGAAGATCATGTATGTGGAAAAATTCATTGGATAGAAATAAGAAATGGTTACTGATAAGAATTATCATGTGTTTTAAGATGTGAGTTTGCTATATTCCGAGGTTGTTCGATCAGAATATTGATATTCAAGCATTCCTGTGCTCGAGCCCGATCTCGTACGTAAGTGAACAGACTAAGAACAACTAAATTAAGATGTATGCAACCCACTGATATAAATATATTGCTTAGATCAATGATGCAAACCTTGACGAATTGTATAAACGACTTTAACCAATAACGTGGTTTGAATAAATAACATCATCGAAAAGGTTTTTCTCGATGGATTGTCTTAATTTCTTTCTTGAGTTGCTTATTCGTAAATTAAACAATAAAGCAAACAGTACAGATAATTCAGACCAATTATCCAGTAATTGTATTATATACATACGGTGTATATGTTCTTAATTAGTCAGTTGAAAACAAATTGTAATCTTATAATCGTAACTGTTGGACTATAACTGCTCACTAATAAATTCAATATTGTAAGGAAAGAATTCATTATCACAGAAAGAACTCTTGGAATTACCTGGATCATGATGTGAAAACGGTACAATGAAAACTTCTAATGGTTGATCTTTCCATTGATCCATTTTATATTCAATAGGAAATCCTTGAGTCCACACACCGCCGGGTTGATCATCAAATGCCAACTGGCTATAGATATTATTCATCTCAAAATAGAACGAAGACAACAGATATTAACTTCGTCTTAAGAAAAATTACGTAATACTGCTACTGGAAAAAAACTTTAACTAGGTATTTTTCCAATGTAGTTAAACAATACTGTGTTCTTGATACTTGTAGTCCCCTGTCTTTGACAAACCTGTCCAACTATAGTACAGGCGATATCTCAGTCTGAAAATTAAACAGCGGGTATGTTGCATAGCAGTTTCCTTTGCATTATTCTATGACCACTAAATATATAGTTTGCGAAGGTGGGAAATATACTTAAGCTGTAAGGACTCGATCACAGGTTTCTTTGAATAATTACTCATATATAGTATAACCGTACAGAGAACAATGAAGAGTTAAGAACTAATCCGACTAAGAAAGCTACAAATCTGTATCGAATGAGATGGTTAAGACATGTTTAACGTATAACTAGTTACCATCTACCTTGAAATCCAATGCTATCTAACATAGAACCAGATTGGAATAAAGCCACAGCTAAACAATTCATGATACGGAACGGGTACATGAAGTTATTAATCGTTAATCTGTGTCATATCAGAAGAAGACTACCTGGTTGGATGGCACTCAAAATCAGTAGTTCAAGGAGCTAGTGATGTGGTACAGTAGTATTAATTCTTCATCCTCCCCTAAATCTTGAGTTAAGTGTTATATTGAACTCTAAATTTTAAAATCTTATTTTTAGGCTATATTTCATATGTTCAAACGTCCACTAAATTTGAAGCTAACCAATTCACTCACTTAGCTTCTCAATTTATCGATTTCCTTTCTCACTATGCTAATATCAGTTATGACAACTGGAGCCGTTACAAACTAGTGCTAAGTGTTATATTGTTGTCGATTCATTGATTATGCAGACGACTATATCCTAATTATACAGAGTCACATCAAACAACATTAAACTCACAGCTTAGTAAACAATGTTATACCTAACTGATGGCATTCACTTTTTACATAACACCGTGATAAAAAAAAAACATAATTAAAATATTACTATATGACTGACTAACTGACAGTATCGTTGGTTCAAACCATGTAGTTTGGTAACAGTTTGTAAATTGATAAGAAAAAAATATATTTAACAAATTTTAATGAATATGTTCAAGATTAGAAGGATGTTAATGAAGACTCTACATGAAAATTGCCAGATATTTTAATAAATAACTCAATGAAAGAAACTGAGTAAAATTGACATTCAATGCACAATAAAAAGTAAAAAAAAAGGTTAATTACTTGATGTTTCGAAGTACAATGATCGATATACATGCATGTATACAGTAGCTATGAGGTTTTTACCAGCTAAAGAAAGTAGTTATTGGTTGGTTTAGTTAAAATCAAATCAACTCGTAAGTTGTTTCACTTTTAGTCTACACACATTATAGAAATGAAAGATTCCTGGAAAGGCATTGTGAAACATCCAACATCCAAGGAGGTAATCCGGACATTTTAACATAGCTTAGACCAACAATTAATGACTTTATAGGATGATGCAATGTCATGGTCCAACCTATATAAGCTTTCTACTAATCACCTTCGATGTTAGTCAGGATGGTGTCCCAAGTTAGGTGCTGTTGTTCCAGCATATGCACAATATAAATCAACAAGCCCAAAGTATAAACTATCAACAAGTCTTACAAATAATTTTCAAAACACGATCAATAACGAAACAAGCCTTAAAAAAATATATGAAATAATTACTCAAGAGAATTATCTCACTTGATATGTTGTATTCACTGGATAATTATTGTCAATTTTTGGACATACTGGAGCTTCAAATGTTCCAATGGTTAAATGTTTACTCTTGCCAGAATCAATTGTTGCCTTCGATTTATTGGTAGATAATTGGACACGGATATCTCGAGAATCCGATCTTGACTTAACAGTATGCCTTTGTTTCATTAATTCAAATTAACGAAAAGAAAGGGAGAAGCATAATTTTGTTTTTTAAGCCAAAAGTAATTTCAAATAATAACGAGTAAATATATAAGCATTACAAAAAAATTATGTGGGAAATAAGAGATAAATTAACACATTTCACGTTCTATGATCTACACCATATCGTCCTAATATCGACTGTGCACGAACATGTTGTATTCAAGAAACAAGTTCTAGTGAATAAGGTGCGTTCTATTTGGCTATTGTCACAGCTAATCAAGTTTCGTGTATTTACTGAGAAACCATATAGAAATCAATAATAATGATGCTGTTCATGGCTGTCGAGCGTTATATGAAAACTGGAGTCAAGAGTAAGCTCTCTCTCCATATATATATATATATATATATATATATATATATATACAACAATTAAGTCTAATGCATCGCATGAATTGAGTGCTATTAGAGGTATGAGGGCGGTTTTCACTTACCGATTGCCCACACCGTGGAAGTCCTTCTAGAGGTACCTGAAAAGGAAATCGGGTTACAGTCGGTCTTAGTGAAATGAGAGCGTGACCATAGTACCCAAAAGACCACTGCTTGAGGTCGGTCACATACGAACTACATGAGAGTAATTTTCGTGTTAGCTCCCTACTTGTTGGGACCTTACAGCTGGAGACGGATATCCGTGGGACAAGGCGACCTTTTCTAACCCCACCCCTCCCCGTGGGAAGGCAGCATCGCTGCCATGCTGGTGGTCTGAAGGAAACACCTTACTGCCGTCACACATCTGTACAGTCAGCAGTACGACTTCACCCTCGGACCTTGGATTTGTTGCTTTTAGTCTTACCACCCCTCAACCGACCTGTCTAGCACGATAGGACCTTGAGGAACGATTGTTTCAGCCAGTTTAGCTCGATTGGTTCATCACGATAGGTAAGCCCGACCACCACGTCAAGGTAGCAGCAACGGTCAGGAACTCCGGTGAATTCATTAAAAGTTATTTATGTCATTAACTACACACAAAATTCTGATAAAATTGGGTACCAAAACACCTATGCGTCATACAAATGAAAAGATGAGACCGTGAAAAAATAAAGAGGAGGAAGCACAATTAAAAAATTATAAACAATAAGTGAACACGAACAGTTGATAGTAGGAGAAATTTTAGTTACAAGAAATCAAGAATACTTTCAGTTAGGAATATTTTCACATTTATCAAAAATGTGGAAGAAAACTGCAGCAGGGTCATTACCAGCTTCTCTTTAGAATAACAGGACGTCTTAAGCCATCGAATTGTACCATCTGCCGGACCATAATAGCGGAGTTGTAATGCTCCAACAGGTACCAGCCTTATGTTAACTTTTTTCCACACCATGTTATTAAGTGACCAGCTATTCTTCTTTTCCAACCAGTTTTAGCTTCGCCAAATAATGAGTCACTGGGATGGTATCTGTAACACGTATCCAAGCCTCCCAATCGCCCTGGTACGCCGAGGGTGGGGAGAGTTAGCTCTCTCTCCCCAAATGCTCTCACAGCCACGTGTATAAAACCACTACCAGGCAAGTCCTACTCACTACCTTCTCATCGCAGGTCTGTTGTTTACAAAATCGAAAAGACCAAAAGCGAATGTCCGGCGCTTTAACTGGGCTGGTGGATATGGAGGATACACCTAGGGGAGTTGGAAAACCCTGATTCCAAACCAATGGTGTACATGGGCTCCAGGATCCTGAGGGAACAAATGGCATATGAACCAATCGTTGGTCACCGACTACTATGGGACTGTATCTCCTGATGTTGCTCCACTGCCTTGTGAATCAGACCTTTAGGTCAAAGGGTCGGGATGTGGCCCTCTAAGAAAACCACCTGCTTTGGTCTGGACACCCTTTTAGTATCACAGTCCACACACAAAGCGAGTGACTTGTGTGGCGCATACGTATTCGGGCTCCTTTGTACCAATATTTATGTGTCCAAATAAAATAAAATAAATCCAAGCCAACAAATTTGGTGTATGTATCAAGATGGTGATACCAGTTTAGCCATCGTCATTGCCCTTGAATACACACAGCCAAATCTCAGCTCAACCAATATGGTGTTACCTCTGGATCGGAATAACAGTTTGGGGACGATTAACAAACACAGAAAGTTACTGAACATCTGTCTATCTTTATTTCAGAGAACTCAGGCCTTACAAGCAGAATAGAACTATTCTCACCAACGCGCTGTAAACTCGATCTTTTAAAACCAGACTAACATTAGGACAACACCAAAGATGGCTCAGATTGGCATAAGCCACTCTAACTTTCACTACATAAAAATTTATTTCTACTGTCTCATCATCGGCACTCATACAAGTACCCGAATACACGAACTCTTCACCCGTTTTTAACGCACCAGTACAAAGAGTACCTAGAGTAGCAATAAATCAGTATTTTAACTTACTAGTATTACCTGAAAATTGTATTCTACTTGTCCCATAGTAGTGAAGTGAAAAATCCTACCGTATATCATTCAGAAGAAATAAATCTTCATCTCAATCTCCAATAAGCATTTTTCAGACATTTTCATTGGTTTTATAGAGTACCAGAAAATAAATTCATAAAAAAGTACACTCGCACTTTCGTTCCATGATTATGATAAGTCAGTCAGTTAGCCACAACGTAGGACTAGGCACATATATGCATCAGCCTAATTTGCCATACCTCATTAGCACAACAAGATGAACAGCGAATTCATAGAAATAGTTAATTCAATTGTGGTAATATACCAAAGAAAGGTTGTATATAAGGATATAGTACAGGAAGAAAGAATTAGATGGTAGAAAGATATAAAGCAATTATAATCTCATATTTTAAGGGAAGTCAAAACAATCATCTTACATGAAATATCAACAACTTAAAATGATCACTGATTAGTCATATTTGTCACGAACCCTACCAATTAAGTTGTAGTGAACAATTCTACTAATCTAAGTGACTAGCTGCGCAGCAGTTCGTTCCGTCCTACTTTATGGCAGCGAAACATGGCCAGTAAGAATAGAGGATATTCGTAGGTTACTAGTATTCGACCATAGATGTCTTCGAAACGTTGCTCGTATATCCTGGGACCACCGACTAAGTAACTCAGTTGTTAGGAAACGGGTACTACGTAAGGATGGCAAATCAATTGATGAAGTAGTGAAACTTCATCAGTTGAGATGGCTGAGACATGTGTTACGAATGCCCGACCACCGACTGCCCCAACGTGCGATGTTTTATGGTGTAGGAGTAGGTTGGAAGAAAGATAGGGGTGGCCAGACCAAAACATGGCACAAATCCATAACGTCACTGACAAGTGGACTGAGCCATGTTCGTAGGGATAGACTACCTGGTTGGGGTCAGCGGGACGATAACAACCGATGGTAAGAGATCTTGAATGACATGGCTCAAAATCGTTTGCAATGGCGCAAGTGCATCCACTCTTTGTTTTCTCTCAAACTCTAATCTTCTGATTTCTTCATGTCCTTTATTTTCTTTCCAAATCTATTCCACTGGATTATACTACTTAAATAACATCATCAAACACTAATGTTCCCCATCACTACTTATACTTTCACTGCCTCTAGCACTACGGAATTTGAATCCATAACTGAATCTCTGTGCTACTGTGGTATGGCAACTCGAACTGATGTACGTACGTACGAAGTTCCACGTTGTTTCTGACTTACTAACTGAATAAGTGACTAGGAATCTCAAATACTATGATGAGATATTAGGTGGTTGGAGGTTAATTGGCAAGAAACACTGGAATTTCGCTTTCGTCCTAGTTTAGACTTGTAAGCGAGGCACACCTATAACCTTGAGGAAAATGATGTCCCCTGTTTGCTCCGAACCCAGGACATCCAACAGTTTGATAAGAACGCGGAATCTAGTACCAAGATTTTCCAGATTAATCTGTAACACTTTAGAGTACAATGGAGGTTGAAAAACTTGATCTTAATATTTTATTATGTATTGGTGAATAATAATACCAAATAATGTGGTGAATAAAGACGATATGATGCAAATGCAAAGACATGAGTCGACAAAGCAAGGAGAGTATTCCTACAACTGAAGAATATCTGAAACTAAACTGTCACACAACACTGAATCCGGGACTTTCAATACAAACGTTAAAGCAGTTCTCTTTCACGTAGGTGCAACTTGGAGAAATACCATAACCATCCCCAAAAAAGTACAGGTATTGACAAACAGCTCTCTATACAAGATACTCCAAATTTGTTGGCTAGATACCATCAGCAACAACCGGCTGTGAGAGAACAAATTAGCTATCAATAAAACATAACATATTAGTAATATCCCAATGAACACTAACTATCAGTTGGTAAGGAAATTAGGAAAAGACGCTGAAGATGGAAAGGGTACACATTGAAGGAAGCATCAAATCGCATTATAAAGAAAACTTTAACTTGTGATCCTCAAGGCAAAGGGAAAAGAGGAAGACCAAAGAACACATAGAGGTAGGAATCAAGACTATAGCATTTGGCAACAACTCAAAAGAAAGTCCAAGAAAAGCTTGTTTGGAGTTCATGGTCGGCAGCCTATAACTGAGAAGGGATAACGGGCTCAAGTAAGTAAAACTTTTCAAATGATGTTAATTACAACCCGTATTCACCAATTACAGGTCTGTGTACTAGGTATTTAGTCACAATGATTATCTGCTGAAAATCACAGAAGGATTTCAAAAATTTTTTTCAAATTATGTTAGTACGACGTAGCTACTAACTAACATTCATCAGTCGGTCACAACGTAGAACTTCGTACGTACATACATCAGTAAGAGTTGCCATACCACATTAGAATAGAGATGTAGTTGTCGATCCAAGTCCCAGCCATCTCAATTGATGAAGTTTCATTACTTCAATTGATTTGTCATCCTTACCTAGTACCCGTTTCCTAGCAACTACATTACTTACTCGGTGGTCCCAGGATATACGAGCAATGCTTCGAAGACACCTATGATCGAATACTAGTAACCTACGAATATCGTCCACTCCTGCTCCCGAATGCCCTGGTACAGCCAAGAGTGTGAAGGACCTAGGGCCACGTGTATACAACCTCTGCCCGGGAAGTCCTACCCACTGCCTTCTTATGGAGGTGTTGTTGTTTACGATATACAGAAGACGAAAAGCGCATGTCCAGTGCTGTAAACGGGGCAGGTGAACACAGTGAGTTCACCTAGGGGAGTTGGAAAACCCTGATTCCAAACCAATGGTGTACATGGGCTCCATTATCCTGAGGAAACAAATGGCGTATGAAACTATTGTTGATCACCGGCTACCATGGGACTGGATTTCCTCACGATGCTCCAATGCCTTGTGGGTCAGACCCTTAGGTCAAAGGCTCGGGTGTGCCCCCCCCCTAAGAAAACCACCTGCTTCGGTCTGAGCATCCGGGCAGTATCACAGCCCACACACAAACAAAATGAAAATGACGATAATTACTGAAAATTCTATTCACGCTTCGATTAACAGTCAATCAATTCACATTATTATTGTTATCACTATTATTATTATTTCCTACGTCATTATTATTATTTTATTTATTTTAACACATAGATATTGGTACAACAAGGCACCAAATACATATGCGCCACATGAATCTCATTTGATTTGTGTGAGGGCTGTGATACTGCACGGGTGCCCAAACCGAAGCAGGTGGTTTTCTTAGGGGGCCACACCCCGAGCCTTCGACCTGAATGTCTGACCCACAAGGCAGTGGGGCATCGTGAGGAGATGCAGTCCCATGATAGCCGGTGACCAACGATTGGTTCATACGCCATTTGTTCCTTCAGGATACTGGGGCCCATGTGCACCATTGGTTCACTCTCTTTTATTCCCACCTTATGTATCCTTATTTTTCGACTTATACAGCAGCTCGCCTATGGTGAAAACTCGGTTCTATCTAAACATTCTCGAGTCACTGCCTGGTTGAAAATTATATGCTACCACCAAATACGAATACTGAAACAGTTTTTCTGAAACCATGTGCACCATTCAAATTGGCTGCCTTCAACGTTCCCACACTTATGCAGGTCGGACAGCAGATGGGACTGGCTATGTCTTCGGAAAGTCTTAATACCGACGTTTGTTGTCTATCCGAGACCCGTATTCAAGACTCTGGTGAAGTGCCACAAATTCGCCCTCCATCTGTCACTTCAAAAAGCTTGTTTTACGTGCGTTTATCCGGGAACACTGTGGCATCTTCGATTGGTCTTGCTGGCGTTGGTGTCGCACTAAGCGCTAGAGCTGAGGCAGCATTAATCGACTGGATCCCCATTAACAGTCGGTTATGTGTTGTTAGATTAGAAAGTTCCATCAAAGTGAGAATAAACAGGCGTGAGAAACGATGTCTTTTCGTCATCTCCACCTATTCCCCGACAGATTGCAGCCCGGATGCAATCAAGGATGAATTCTACCACCAGTTATCTGTTCTCCAGAAAGAGCGTTCGACAGATATTGTAGTACTAACCGGAGACTTGAATGCTCAGGTCGGGTGTCTAGGCACAGAAGAGAATCGTTTAGGTGGCCGATGGGGACTTGTTGGTAGCAGGTCAGATAACGGAGACCGTCTACTGCAACTGTGCACAGACCACAACCTATTTCTGGCTAGCACTAACTTTCGGCACAGTAATTGCCGATGTGCCACCTGGCGTCCTCCCTCTGCATCTCAAGCCTGGACTCAGATTGATCACATCGCGATCAGCTACCGCTGGCGTGGTTGTGTACAAAACTGTCGCTCCTTTTGGAGTACCTATCTGGATTCTGATCATGCCCTAGTCCGCGCCAATGTTACCTTACTTTTCAGTGGCCAAAGAATTGATCGTCATAAAGCAAGTTGGTTGCGACTTTTGTTGCAAGTAAGTATCAAACCCAGTCAGCTTCTAGGCTAGCTACCATTCCACCGAAAAGTATAGATGAGCATTGTTTGCAACTTCACGACACCATGAAAATGGCGAGTAAAGCCGTTTGCGGCTTCGCGAAACGTCCCGCTTATAAGCACTGAGATTTTTCAGGCTCCTTACGACTCATAGAAGCCCATTGGTCTACTCCGAGTGACCATGAGTTTGACCACAAACGAAGGCTGTTACGTAATTAAGTTAGGTGAAACTTGCGTAAGGACCGAGAAGCCTGGTGGTCGGAGAGTGCTAATGAGCTGGAAGCAGCGGCTGCCACTATCCATCTTTGCTTATAATGCTTGTCAATTAAGGCAATATCGAGGCATACGCACAGTATGCACATATGCCAATAAGAGACTGAACAATTGCAGTCCTAAACATCAATGGGAAGATTCAAATAAAAACAATATCAAGTGAATTAAACTTCACCCTATTGTACAAGCAAGTGGCTATCAGGACTCAGTAGCTAAGTGGATAACGCGATAGCGTTTGAAGCGGACAGTACTGGGTTCGAGTCCCGGAGTGAACATCGACTCTGAGATGCAGGTACATCCAGCTGACGAGTCCCAAATAGGACGAAACGCGCGTCCTGGATTCCACTGCTAGCCACTATCCATCTTTGCTTATAACACTCACTTATTTGTTTATTTATTTGAACACATAAATATTGGTACAAGGGGGCACCAGACATATATGCGCCACACAATAACAATGAGAATGGAAAGAGAAAAAGAATATAAGGTGCGTGTAAGAGAGAAGAAAGAAAAAAAGAGAACAATAACGACCACAGATTAGTGTATGACAGTGTTATAATAATAATAATGGGGGAAACAGAAAGTTACAACCAGAAATAATTTCCTTTCAGCCAAGGAAGTTACAACCACTTTCTGTAAGGAAAGTGAAAGAAGGTTACAGAAGGATCGCCACTGGCTTTTATTGTGAGCCATATGTGATAACATCTCTAGCCACTGTGTTGCACCATCTCTCGGACCCCAACCAGGGAGTCGAGAAGGACCAACAGAAGCCAGCCCTTTGCAGCTTTCTTTCATACCCCGACACTATGTCATACACTGACCACCTCTCCGCTTTTTCCAACCAGTCCCAGAGTCGGCAAATAATGCACGACGTGGAATTCTCTGGGACGACATTCGTAGAACATGTCCAAGTCACCGAAATCGGTGTTTCAAGATGGTGACACCAATGGAATTACCGTCTCTGTACCCGAATACACGATGCCGAACCTCTGCATTACTGACATGGTGTTGCCACTGGATGCCAGCAATCCTTCGGAGACAGCGATGATCGAACACAGAGAGTCGTCTAACACCCTCGACTCGGAGAGGCCAGGTTTCACAAGCATAGAGCAAAACTGCTCTAACCGACGCGTTGTAGATCCGACCTTTTACAGCCAGACTAACATCACGAAGGCGCAAAAGACGCACCAGATTGGCATAAGCCGCTCTGGCTTTCATCATACGTGAATCGATCTCATCACTCACGCCACTACCAGCACTTATGTAGCTACCTAGATACACGAACTTCTCGACTACTTCTATCTGCTCACCATCCAGGGTGAGTACAGGATTAGAATCCTGCCAGTCTTGTAGAAGTACTTTGCACTTCGAAGGTGCAAAAAGGAAATCAATAAAAATACGACAAACGAAAATTAAACACAAACAAGATCAGGATGAACTAATTTGATAAATAAAAAGTTCTTTTATATAAAGTAGGTGTTAATGACCTTGCACAGAAAGACAACGAAAGCTACACAATTAAACCATCTACTTTATAGATAATAGTAGCAGCAGATGCATACAACTTTTCAAACTACCACTAAACACATTAAACGAGTAAACTTGACTAACCATTGTTGACCAGCTGGTATATCGGCGAGCCAAGGCATTGATAGTACATCTTGTGGTTTTTCGCGGAAATCTTTTATTGTATTTTGCAGCGCCGACAGATTTTTCTCTCTTGATTCACCATAATATTGCATTGTAATGTAGAGTGCAAAAACAGTGCATAACAAAATGATATACAAACTTCGTACAACTCTAATCCTCATTGTTGAGAAAAAGAATGCTAAAACATACAAAGATAGGACAAATATATGCAACAAGAATAAGCTTTATTGATTAATGGTGTTCAACAAAATCTTGGGATGGATTTAAAAAATAAGTCTGGCTTTTGCCAATTTGAGTCACTTGGGATATAGGCGTGGTGTTCGTTTGCTAATGACAAGGGAAGTATGTCAGTCAACAGTATGCCCTGTAAGGAATGTTAAGTCTAGGTGAACAGTACTAGACAAAGATGGTAGATTATTTGAAAAGGTTGTCTTCATAGACTAAGGTGGATATAAAAATGGAATATCTTGGTGCGTGATGTTGACTAGGAATAAGTAGGGAAAAAGCTATGGGTGACCAAACTCGAACGAGGCGTCAGTCTATGGAATCATAGGCTGATAGACTGAGTCATGTCAGTAGGTGCATATTGAACGGCTGTGGTTCACTAGATCACCTCGACCAAAGGCTAGAGAATTTGGATGATATGGCTCAGAATCGGATGAAACAATGTAGATGAATTTATTTTTAGTCTTCTCTTAGATCCCAGGTTGATAGATTTTGTTCTACGATCCCATTTATCCTCGAATCATGCTGTTTTTTTTACTTGACCCGATACTACCACTATCTTTGTATTCATATTACTGTAGTAATGTGGTCTGCTAACTTTGGCCAACGAACATATTCGACAAACTTAACATTATTTTTCACTGACACTGACTAAAATGGATAGTATATGGTGCATAATAACGATTGACGTAAAAATATGAGAAAAATTTACAATAACCAGAAGTACATCATCATGTGCATTCTAAGTTAATACAATCGAAGTGACCTGAAACTATTCTTCACTTTTATGTCGACATTACACAGAACAATGTACAGTTGGATAGTTATAATCATCTTTACTTGAGATTATGAACTAGGTCAAAACCAATTTTATGTATTTGATATCGGATAAACAGGTTCCAGCTAGACCAAATAAATCGATGCAGTTTATCAATGTCAACTGTAGAATATTGATGTTCAACTGTATTTTTTTGTAGATACGTTTTAAAGATAGACTAAAGTAAATAAAAGTGTGGTGTTTTAATTATTCGAACTATTACACTTTATTTGTATGGGTAGCAGTTGATGAAATTTAAACAAGGAGAAAGGTTTGTTTAGCATCTACTAACTTTCCTGCTTTACAACTACGAAATCAAAGGCCTAACTGAATGGGGGATGTTTTAGGGGCTCAATCACCAACCAGTCTAATGCATAACGTTGACAGTAGCGCGATAAGATTGGGAAACGGCGAAACCATAATTTATGGACGAATCAGGACGTTAATAGGTCCTGAATTTTGGAGCGAAATCAATTCATTCATTTAGCTTAATAGTTTTGGCAATATAGCTAATGTCAGTTAGTGATCAAAACCCCATACCTAATCCCTAACCCTAACTATTAACTGTAAATAATAATCATAATTTCTCACACTGGCTCATAACCCTCATTTAGCCATGGTATGTAGGTGAACATTTTCAAGGTCTTTTTAGCGTCGTTCAAATTTCGTTCATAAGTTATAGTCTCACCTAACTGAAAACAGTTGGGAAGGATTGCCCAAGAAATAGTTGGATGGAGAATGCTGGTGGGCGGCCCATGCTCCTCTATAAGTAGTAACAGGCGTAACTAAGTAAGAATAAGATGGTAAGGTAACTAGACTTTGTGCTTAGTTTATGGGATTATCTAAGCTAGGGTAAACTAGGACTGCACCACCTTGAAAACACTTTAGTGCCAGAATGGACATAAATGTAACGTTAAAAAGTCATGGGTATGTAATGAGCAAATCAATCAGTTATCTAGACAACAATTCCAGCTGGAATTGCCGTTGAAATAAATGGGCGTATGGTGGTTCAAATGGTTGCGGACGGAATAGAAGAAGCTTTCGCTTAACAGGCTTCCGTGTCTAGTAGCAGTGGATCACCAATACCTCCAGGCAAGAACCTAGGTATATTAACGATAAAAGAGAAAGAAAATGAATTGGTAAATCATAGTAGGATACTATCCTTAGTCCTTAAGAATAGATCAAGTCGCCTCTTAAAGGACTCCTGGGAAGTTGCTTGGACTAGCTCAGCTGGCAGCGAGTTCCAGCATTTGACAACTCTTAAGGAGTAGAAATTGTGTCTGCAGTCCGTTCTACTATGTTGTATCTCCAGTTTTTGGGTGTTACCCCTTAGGTTAGTGTTGGGACTAAGCTTAAGTAGGTGTTTAAGAGGGTGTCCAGGTGTGTTAAGGATACTGTAAGCCATTAGAATGTCACCTCTAAGACGCCTATACTCTAATGGGTAAAGGTCGAGTGATTGGAGGCGCTCATCGTAAGGTTTAAATTTGAGTCCCCGAACTGATTTCGTGGCTCGCCGTTGGATACGCTCCAGAGTGTCCTTATCCTTTTGGAGTGTAGGAGGGAATACTATGTTCCCGTACTCTAAATGGGGACGAATGAAACTATTGAAGATTATGTGGAAAGTTCTCCCGTCAAACTGACCAAAAATGCGCTTCAATGTTACCAGTGCAAGGTTTGCTCTAAAGGCATTTTTGTCACAGTTGGAGTAAGACTTTAAGTCGTAGGGCACCAGAACTCCTAAATCTTTTTCGACTCGGGATACTACTAGAGAGGAGTTTCCTAAGTTGTAACTGTAATCTGCGACGTGTCGCAGATGGACTACTTTACACTTTGAAGTGTTAAAGGTAAGTCCGTTATCATCTGCCCAACTTTGAAGTCGAGTCAGATCCTCCTGAAGTGCCTGTATGTCCTCTTGGTTGCGTATCTCTCTCCAAAGTTTCACGTCATCGGCAAAGAGCAGTATGTCTGACGTTACCTGTTGAGGAAGATCATTTATATAAATCAGGAAGAGGAGAGGTCCTAGTACTGAGCCCTGGGGGACCCCACTAGAACATTCCATAGCGCGTGAGAAATTGAAGTTTACCCTGACCTTAAAATGTCGATTTGTGAGGTATGAACTGAGCCAGTCAATTAAAGGTGGTTTGATTCCCAATTGTTTGAGCTTGTTAATAAGACATGTGTGGTTAACCCTATCAAAAGCTTTAGAGAAATCAAGGTAAATAATGTCTAACTTCCCCTTGCGATCAACGATGCTTGTCCATCTGTCCACCGCGGTCAGCAGGTTCGTCATACAGGAATAACTCTTCCTGAAACCATGCTGTTGGGGTGAGAAGAAATTTAAGGACAGCAGATAGTCATGTATATCATCGTATACCAGGGACTCCATGATCTTTGAAGGTATAGAGAGAAGGGCCACCGGTCGGTAACTTGAAGGTTCATTGCGTCGACCTCCTTTGAAGATTGGTGTGATATGAGCCAGCTTCTAAATATCCGGTAGTTTGCCCCGACTTAGCGAGTGTGAGAACATCAAGCTAAGCGGTGTTGCCAGGATTGAAGTTGCTTCCCTCAGTATAGCAGAGTGGACCATATTTGGACCAGGAGAAGTGTCTGTTCTTAGGTGTTGTAATTTACGGAACACCAAGTCAGCGCTCAGTTTCACTACGGAAAGTCCTGTGCAGTTGCAGACAGAGCCGACATCAGTATAGTTGATGTGGGTCGGCTGAAATGTCCGGGAGTAGTGCTCAGCCAGAAGGTTAGCGGCGTCACCGTCATTATCTGTCGGGCCGTTAGGACCTAGCAGTTGAGAAACTCCAGTTTTGGCTTGACGAAGAGAGGCTGCGTAACGGAATAAGCTTTTCGGATTGGAAATAAATTTATCCATAAGCTTTAACTGGTACTGAAGCCTGTCTTCTCTTATAGCCTTCGTACATATGTTCCTTATATATTTATATTGCCTGTACTCGCCGTTGTTTTTGGTTCGTTTGTATTCTGCCCAACAGTGCCTTTTACGGCTTAGCAAACGAAGAGTGCGTTTTTTGATAATTTTAGGTTGCTTGTGCCTTTTGGGGACCGTTTGAGGAACTGACTGCTTAGTAGCACATGAGAGCGTGCGCAGTAAGGAGTCCCAATGAGCATCCACATCAAGTTGAGGGTGAACATCCCAATCCACCTGTTGTAGATAATCCTGTAGAGCTGACGCATTCAACCGTTTGAAGTTCCAGCGCCTGTTGTTGTCGGGATATCTTAGCTCTGTTTTGCTGACGAAACTGAAGGCTATAACGGCGTGATCGCTTTTCCCCAGGGAAGCCAGAATTGAGAGGTTGTCGACTAGAAATTCTTCATTTGTAAAAACACAGTCTAAGCGCGACGGTGTCTGACCGTTCCTCCAACGAGTGGTCGACTTCACATTTTCGTGTAGTCCCAAGTCCTCAATGAGGTTGAAGAACCGAGCTTCGATTGAATTTTCACCTCCAGTATATGTATGTTCCGCGAAGTTGACTCTAGGAAGATTGAAGTCCCCTAGGATCAGGATATGGGTGAAGCCGAGACGCGTAGAGCGGGATAGTCCCTCCAGCATGCGACTGTCATACTCGTTGTCGGCAGTGGGCTTCCTATATATGACTCCGACTAGGCACCTCGAAGTAGTGGACAATCTCATAGAGCACCATATGGATTCCTCAAGATTGTCAAACTCGTGGTTGTGGATTTGATGTACCACCAGGCCAGATCTTATGTATAGGGCTACTCCACCCCCAATTCCTGTTTTTCTGTCATTGAGAAACAGAGACATCCCAGGTATTGCTAGCTCCTGGTCCGAATACTGAGGAGATATCCAAGTTTCAGATATTCCTATCAGATGAACTTTATTAGCGTTGCTAAGTTCACTTAGTTCATCCATTTTATTTGGTAGACTCGCGGCGTTCATGTATAAGCAGTTAATGCTTTCAATTTGAAACGCGTGAGCTTCTTCCTGTTTATCTGTGAGAGCCTTGCGTGAGTGGACAGGTAACCCACCTATATAAGTTTTGTCAAATTGGTAGGCCCTGTCGTTTACACGTTTTTTTTGTCTTGAAGACAGTCCACAAGTAGAATGGTCAGTTCCAGCTTGCCTTTGTGCTTGATCCTGGCGTCGTATGGCCTATCCGGGTGCATATGGATCCCAGTTGGCAACCGACGTCTGTTGACACGAAATGCTTCCAGAGTTGTAGCCGCCACATGGGAGGATGGAAAAGTTATCCTCATTAGTCGGGGTCTAGGATCCCCATCCTTCTTGGCTAGTCTCATCACATGCTGAGACAGTATGTTTTTAAGCCTCAAGGACTGTTTGATGAATTTCCATTCCCGAATGTCAGAGTTTGCTTGAGTAGGGTCCATGTTTTCCGGTACACCTTGCACGATGATATTTCTTCCGCGGAAAAACTTCTCTCGAGAATCTTTAGGGACGTTTCGGATGAGATTGCGCTCAGAATATGGTATGTCAGGCAGTATTCTGACGTTTCCATCGGATTTCAGTAGATGACTGGCTAGCAGGACATCCTCTACTTCGGTAGCATTCTTGAGTGTTACACGGAGTAGTCTCGGGTGATTTTGATGTTTAGAATCCTTTCCCCGAGTGAGCCGTGTGACCGTCAAAGGCTCTATTCTAGGAAATTCAAGCTTTTTGTTCAGTTCACCCCAAAGCATCCTGTCATTTTTGTCCTGCAAACTGAGAGGAAGGTCGGGATTGTCTATGAGGTTCATGATTATGAGAGTCATCACGGACCGTTGTTGTTTTCCCAGCTCTTGCAGTGCGTTCAGGTTCAGTACGTTGTTGTTTGGAGGTCGAAGCAGGTTTTTGAATCGTAGGCTTTTTAATAACCGAGCGGACATTTTTGGGGGTAGACTGAGCGATCAAAGCACCAGTTGATGTGCGTACAACACTTGGGATGTCAACCTTGGACGGTGACACCTGGTCCTTATTAGCTCTGTTGGCGTGGGTACAGTCACCTGCAGAGTTTTTAGGAACCACTGTTGCGTTTGGGGACCCTGAACTGGGAGATCCAATTTTAGTGAGGGAATCAAATATTGTCGACGTAATGGTGCTGAGTTTCAACATGCCATCATTAGTGCTAATGCGCGTTCCATCGATGGTTGACTTGTCAACATCCCTGTTCTTATTTTCGTTACGCGCCCTCGTTTGCCTACCTATTTGATGGCTATCTGTTTCCAAGTTTACTGACAATTTATTCCGCAGACCTGTCAGTAGAACAATGATATTGCTCAGCAGCACTACAGCGTCCGTGTTGCAAGTAACGCAGACCCACTTACGGTCCGACTTGCTGAGTCTCTTGTAAGCCGTTGCCGTAAGATCTGTGCACGTTTTGTGAAACCAACCTTTGCAGTTGTCACACTGCATGCCAGATGTAACAGCGAAACGGCATCCAGGTCTTTTACATGAATTTTTCATGGCTGTATTTACGTAAACTGTGCTAGAGATAGTATCAAAGCTTAAGACCGTTAAAAATACACTAAAAACCACACTAAAACGGGAAAAATGTATAAAAACGGATGAGATAAAATGAAATAGCCTTTACGTGAAAAACTGAAAATAAACCGAATAGTAAGCTGAGGCAAAACCGCAGTTAACTATTAAATTGGGTGAAACTCAAAAAAAAAGTAATCTACCGAACTTATAGCTCAGAATAGATTGTTTAGATCAGAAATGGTACTTTTGTTGCGTAAGAACACAGCAAAAGTTTGAGAAATGCAAACCACGTTAGGACTAAACTTCCAGTTAGCTCCTAACTAACTGTAACTGCCCAATTAAACGGATTGATCCAAACAATCAATTAATTAATCATTCCTAACGAGAGGTCGTCCCTAACTTACCGTGTTGCTAATGTCAGAAAAATTGGAACATACCGGAGTACTCGACCTTCGACGTTCAAGGTGAAACGACTCGAATATCCAATATTTTCACGAGCTTGTATGGACCAATTGTGGTATTGGTATTTTTACAACCATTTACGTATGTCCAACGAGTGGTATTCTAGCTACTCGACTGCGTTGATTGTGTTTATTACGATACCCAGTCTCCTTGTTTCGAGAAAAATCTCAACAGTTTCGTGGAAATTTCGGGAAGGCTGCAGTAGGAAATATTGCTGGAAGAAGCGTAGCATATCTGATAACCTGTTTCTGTCTGATTGCATTCGAGAAAGTCAGAAACTCACTCAAGTAGGAAAAATGAAAATTTTGCATATACGACAAAAATGTTCTTGGCGGTCCAGTTATAATATTCCGACGCCAGACAATAGGTTTTAGGCATTATTTAAGTTCTAACGCTTCAGGCCGGGCTATTTCGCTTACTACCCTACATATGTGTTGTATGCAGTATAACCTATATGGCTAGGTAGAGCTGAAGGTCTCATATGAGGCTGGAGGTTCGCCATTGGCATTGTGGATGGTCCAGCAATGCTTTGGCAAGTTTTGCTTACTGTTCACGCACAAAATTGGTTTGCTGGTTAACTGATTTTATTCACACTGGTGGCTGCCTTTCAGTGTTCTCGAGGGCCATTTTCATTGGGACCTTGTAAGGCATGTCGCTATTCCTAACATTAATGAGTTTGACTGTCGTGTAAACGGAATAGGTCAACTTTGACCTGTTCGTGCTGTGCATAATCGAGTCGCGCGATCATTGATCGGAATAACTATACATGTGATGGGAATGTGTATATGAATGAATCACGAGGGTTCTTGGTACCTGTGTGGTTGCGCTACAGGATTGAGCTGTACTATTCAGATTTTAGCGTTAAAGCCTATACAGTGTCTGGCTCTCCTGTAAAATGGGATTGGGCTGTACTGTTTGGGTTGTCACATGAAAGTCTGGACGGTGTCTGGTTCTCCTGAAAACCAATGTAAAATTATCCTGGTCGACGATGGTATATTATATAACTGTGAATAAACTGGTTGATCATGCCTGTAATCATATGCTTGACTCAGAGATTAAGCCATGCATGTCTAAATACATACCTTAAAAACGGTGAAACCGCGGATGGCTCATTAAATCAGCTATGGTTCCTTAGATCGTAAATGCTACATGGATAACTGCAGTAATTCTAAAGCTAATACATGTGAGTACATGTTGAATTTGAACAGTATTCGTGAACGTTTCACATGTGTGTAAACACATGGTTCATGTGTCATGTTGTTTGTTGTAGGGAGGTTAGACTTGACATTTTTTAGTGTGTTACTTCTCATCTTTTACCTGCGTTTGGCTGGAAACCTGGAGGCAGCAGATTTAAAAGACTTCTCCAGAATAATAGAAAGGTGACTAGTAGCGGATTGATTGAAGAAAAGTGTTGAAATAGAAACAGCCATACGAAACCCAAGATAGAGAGCAACCAAAACATTTATTTGGAAGAAACTTGAGGGTGTGACAACTTAGGATGATTGATTAAAAGTTGACCCAGAACATTAAAACTCGAATATTTGCAGAACTTACGGTCCATTTTCTTATTAGTTTTGCTCTAGTAATTGATCTAATCCTAAATTTGTAGATTTGTCATAATGTGACTACCTAATTTATCAGATCATATGTGGAAGTCACATCATTGTCTACGCTGAGTCGTCTCATCGTAAGAATCACCAATATATAATAGAGAACAAATCTAGGTTGAAGATAGAACAATTTATTTAATATGAATAGAATAGATAAGTTACACAAGAACGACCACGCCTGCAAGGTTAAGCCATGCCATCAAATGAATCGAATTAGTGTTCCCTCGTTCCTGATGGTTAACCTGCTCTTCGTGTCAACCGCTGAATATAAGTCTTCTCAGTAGTTATATGTTCAGCTTCATAGGTCGTGTGATTAGGTTCCAATGCCACTACATATTCATTCACTTACTTATCTTGCATAAGGGCTATATTTACTATTATTTTGTGTTGAATGTTGGGGAGATTTGTGTGTTTGAACAAGTAACCTTGCGCTTCACTCTGTAGTGACCTACTTTTATCAACAGAACACGATTGGTGTAATGGAAACAATTACTATTAAAACCATTTGTACCAGTGATTGTTTTACTGTGTTTGTTTGTTGAACTGTACCAAAGACATTCTTCCTTCCGTTGATTATGAGGTTGCATGAATTTGGTTACGCTCAGTAACCGCACTTGTAACTCGGCACGATCTCGGTATTCTTTTGATACCACGAAATCGCCAGCAAATACATCTCGACTACAGCCATCAACTGCCTTCTGATGTTTAACCTACGGGGGATCTTATCGGTTAACTGGCACGTAGTCTTCTTGTAGTGGTGACCATAGTTAAACGCGACTCGACGCCACACTACAACTCCATCCCCCAGGATTTTAAGATAAAGACTTATATACTAGTGAAGAACAAATTATAAGTAACTTCTGAGAGCTATTAATGGGCTAGTATTATATATATTCCTATTGTATAACTATTTATTAACTAGATTACGTATATTTATGCTCCCATTATTATAAGCTTTATTTTAACCTACAGAATATTATTATGCGATTAGCTACTCCTAAATTATACTCAGTTTATTAACCGCAGTCTCCCACAATCATGGCCAACATTTTGGCTTAATCTTGCATACGTGTTATTTCCTATTTTATGCAGTAATGTGTTTCGTTTAGTTGGCATGTTTTAAATAAATGATTCGCATAATGGAAGCTGGTATTGGTGTTCTGAACTCAAACGATAGGGTTAGGAAAATAAATAACCAATAAGGATATCAGACTGCTCACACTGGCCGAACGTCATTGGTTTTGCACAGTGCTAAAATTGTATAAGTCATATCCAATTAGCTAGAGAGTCACGTGGTAATTAGCCGAGATAAATGTTACAACAGAGATCTACTTACTACCAGTCTGGTTTCTTCAATCAATAGAACGATGGGTACCCACCCACACCAAAAAGATATATAAAGATGACAAATGAAAGAGGAAAAGATACCATAAAAATTGTAACAGAGGGTCAATAAGTAAATACATGTTTAAGTGTAAAATAAGATGAAAATGTGCACGTTGAATAAATTTTAATCTAGAGGTTTTGTGGATGGTTATACTTTAATGATCACAGCAATCTACAACTGTCAATATTCAAAATCAAACGATCGAACTGAGTGGTGTTTGTAGTATATATACATAATGAAAGCCGGTATTAGTTGAAATTGGAGTGTAGTACATAAAGTTTGGAGTGTGATGCCCCACTGTATATAATTGCGTTTTTAAGTGTTATTTTGATGTTCTAATTGAACAAATGGTTCCAAAAGAGATGTGGATTAAAGTACCAAAACCCAATCTAAAGAATAGTGTGTAAAACTTGAAGTATAATTCTTTATTATGTATCATTATGCATGTTTGAAAGTGGTAGATTGTAGTTCTGTCAGATAGTCAAAACAGATATATAATTATATGCATATAATCATATATGCTTTGAATTTGTCAAAGTGGAGTCTTACCAAACAGTAAAGAAATAGGGTATACCGTTAGATGTTTCCGAAAGGAGTTGTCTTCTGTAATTCCAAAATAATCCTGGAAAAGAAAATCACAGGCCGCAGTTTGTGATGAACATCCTGTTTGTCTAGCACTCATCGACCTAAAGGGACGCTCAGTAGAATCCTGAAGTGTACACGCGTGAACCTCACAGTTTCTTGCCTGCGGCAATTGGTCTGTAAACCATTGCCCGTTTAGAATAGAGCAAAACACTAAGGCTGTCACAGGTATTCGAAGTTTGACAATGCTTTTGCATATAACCCATCGATAATCCAATTATCAAGACTTTGAAGAGTGCTTTTCATGCCATTGCAAGAGGTATTAGAATGAATCACGGCGTATGGAAACGTGTGTACCGTATTGTAAAGCGGGTCAAGAAAAAATATCAATTGACTGAGGTCAAGTGGAAACAGGATTAACTCAAAGCATTTTGTTTGTGAGACTGCTCGTATAAAAGTTTAGATCCATGTTCAGTGAAGATGATGCTTCTGTAAAGAAATTGGATCCTCACCATAATTTTATAGATCTACAGCTTCTCTCGCAAGTCAAAGTGTCGTTCTGTAGAAGATTTGTGTCGCAGTGTATACAATGACAGCTTCCACCTCATAAGGAATACTGAGCAACACGGCTGGGCGAGAGTTATTCCGTTATTGTACGTAGGCATCCAAAACTCAACCTTTAAACTGTTGATGTAATCGTTTAACCTTAACGTTAGCTTTTGCTAACTACGTAGTCCTTCGAAACTGTGTGATTCCTGTGAGTGTAGTGAGAAAGTAAAAACGTTCAGATTACAACTGGTGTCCACCGTCTGTAGTAATAATTGAGGGATATCTCAAGTTCGCTGCCCATCGTCCGACGAAGGTTTGGACTGCATTTAATAGCAATATTCGTGATAGGTACTGCCTCTAGTCTTTGTATGAAACGGTGAACACACGTCAGTAAGCAACAGTGTCCCGTTGGATCTGGCAAGAATCTAACCAAACCCAGATGGTCGGAACGAGCGTTGAGAGTCGCAAAAGAGCCTTAGAAACAATTAATGGATCTATTCACTTTAGATTTCTGCCGGCTTACATATTCTTATGTCCATAATCATACCAGGCCAACAAACCAGTCCTGAAACAAGCTTAATGGTTGCTCGAACACCTGGAAAAGAATGTTTGTGCAACGTAATAAAGACGTTCCGTCGATAATGGTCCAGGACGATTGGGCGATCTCTGCCTGTAGATGTCTCACACAATAAAGCTTCCCTAACTGTTCCTATCTTTTCGATCCGTAGTTTCAGAGTTGTCGAATAAAACGCATGTTGAAGACCAGTGTCTTCTTTTTGGAGCAGGACAAAATTTAAAAAGGTCGATTTTGTGGAAAATGTCTAATAAAGTCCGGTTGTCGAGATTCATGATGGGGAGTACTTTTCTAAAG